CAGCTGATTTTTGTCAACACATATCATCCTAAATATGTTTTTAAGAGAAAAAAATGTTTTTCCAACAACGTATATTGATTACCTGATAGAAACATCGATTACTGTAAACTGAATGGTGGGCATTGATAAAGGTAAGTACACGTAAATTGCATGTTGCTTCACCATTTTTCAAACTTCAGGGCTTCAACTTCCGTTTCTAGGAACTCCTGGAATGCTCAGCGGCAGGGAGGTCTCTCTTCAGAGTCCAACAGTAGTCAGTCATCATGACTGCGTCCCAGCGACCCTGATACCTGGTGTCCATCTCTTTCATGTCCTGATGGAATCTCTCCCCCTGCGTGTCACTCATTGAACCTAGGTTCTCATATGTGAAAATAGGTAGTGCATCTTGACGCTCATGTTGCAGCCCAGGTTTCTGAAAGCAGCCAGCATGTTGTTGACAAGTTCTGCGTAGTTTCTGGCCTTATTGTTGCCAAGAAAGTTCTTCACTACCAGAACAAATGCCTTCCACGCTTCCAGTTCCACTTCGTTCATTGAGTTTCCGAACTCTGGATCTCTGATGAGCTGACAGATCTGAGGACCGTCAAAGATGCCAGCTTTCAACTTCTCCATGGTCAATCCTGGAAAAGCCTGGCACAAGTAAGTGAAGCAGTCACCATCCTTGTCCAGAGCCTTGGTGAACTACTTGATTAAGCCGAGCTTGATGTGCAGCGGTGGGAAGAGTATTCTGTCTCTGTCCACCAGAGGGTCGTTGATGACGTTCCTTTTTCTGCAAGGCACCAATTCCTCCTGCACAGGCCAGTCCTTCTTCATGTAATGCTGAGCACGGTCCCTACTTTCCCCCATGCACAGAAAACATAGGTACTTGGTGAAGCCAGACTGTTGTCCCAACAAAAAGTTCACCATCTTCAGGTCAACACAAATAAACCACTTATGCTGATCATAACCAATTTTCTCCAGCACATACTTCACCGCTTCATAGTTCTCCTTCAGTGTAGTCGAGTGAGCCAGGGGTATAGAGGCAAACTGGTTGCCGTTGTGTAGCAGAACACATTTCAGTGATCGCTTGCTGCTGTCAATGAACAGTCTCCAATCTTTGGGTTGGTACTGTGGTACTCCAAGCTTGAGCAGAAGCTGCACAATACAGTGGTGCCTCACAAGACGAAATTAATCCGTTCTGCAAGTCTCTTCATCTTGCGGTTTTTTCGTCTTGCGAAGCACGGCTATTAGCGGCTTAGCGGCTATTAGCGGCTTAGCAGCTATTAACGGCTTAGCAGCTTAGCGGCTTTAAGAAAAAGGAAACAAACTCGCAAGAACTCGCAAGACGTTTTGTCTTGCGAAGCAAGCCCATAGGGAAATTCATCTTGTGGAACGACTCAAAAAACGGAAAACCCTTTCGTCTAGCGAGTTTTTCGTCTTGCGAGGCATTCGTCTTGCGGGGCACCACTGTATCTGCACAGTACACCAAGTCCTTCTCTTCCGAGAAAAAACAGAGGTACTCTTGATGCCTGTTGCGGAAGAAGCTGATGCAAGCACTGTCAGAGAGGAGGTTTTTTCCCTTCAATCTGGATGCCAACAGTTCGGCAGAGTCCTTTGACAAGCTGAGGTCGCGAACTAGATCATTCAACTCTTTTGGGGAAAATGGATGTGGAGCATCATCTTCAAGAACCACTTCTTCTTCTTCATGTCCTTCAGCACTGGAGGCATCTTCATCACTAATGTCAGGAAGTTCTCCAAAGATAGGCACTGGAATTTCATCACAATGAGCTACAGGACGATGTGCTGATTGAAGATCAGGATACTTGAGGCTGCTCGGGTTCTTTCTGTTGATCCCAGTCACATCAACAGCACAGAAGTAGCAGTCAGTGACATGGTTTGTCGGCTCCCTCCAAACCATGGGAATTCCAAAGTTCAAACTCCTCTTGCCATTGGTCCACCCACATAGAGTCTCAGTGCATTCCTTGCACACCATGTGTGGTGCCCAAGCTTTATGCTGGTCACCAAGTTTAATACCAAAATAACTTTATGCTTTGCCGCACCAATTTATGGAAGATTTCAAGGTTTTATGACTTCAAACTGATTCCTTTTCGACATAATCAGCCAGAACTATCGGACCTGAATACTTCTTGTCATTAAAATAATCATTTCCAATCAAAACAATTATTCGACATGGCATTTTACCCTCACCAACTTCTTCTAAAATGCTCCACACAAGCGTACATGTGAACAAAAACTTTAAAAAATGACATGTGGCCATAGCTCAAAACCTTGACCTGATTGAGCAAAACCAATGTGATTTTTGGATTCAGCGCATCAGATTCGTCCTAAATCAACTGAAAAAATGCAGACAACAAATATTATTATTACTGTGTTATGAAGAATATGTGTGAAGAGGAAATCAGCTGGGTTGTCTGAGAAACGCCTCTGCCAGGTTAAAAATATAATAATGGTGAGTAGAAAATGGCTACGGGATAATTTTGCTCTATGACATGGCCTTTAGGTATAAGTATTCATTAACTAGTTTTCAGCTTTTGCTTGGAAGACAAAAAGATAACTTCAATGGCTATGCGGGGGGGGGGGGGAGCAGCAACATCATATTTTGGTGTTCTCAGCATGTTGCCAATGAGATACAACCAATTTGATTTGCAAACCAGAATGTATTAATTCAAGAATATGGGACAAACATTCAGACCCAACCTTTCAGAAATCAAGTCCTTACAAGGTGTCTTAGAGATAAGAAAGATACATGAATAAAATCACAACATTAAAATATAGCAATCGACTTCCCACTGGGACTTTAATCATCAACTGCCCTGTTGGGAATGGGTTAAAGTTTAGCTGGAATAGGCCACCTAACACCCCCTTTCACAACTCCTTTGTCCCAAAAGGGGTCTTCACAAAACCTTTTAAAGATTAACCTGATGAATGAAAATGCAGAACATGGCCAGTCTCAGAGGAGGTTTGGTTTCCTTGAGAAATCTTAGTGACCTGCTATTTGGTAATCCTGTTATATTAAAGCTTTTTGATATGCTAAGAACTTCAGCTGTAAAGCAAACATGTTTTTTTTAAGCGACTGGATGCTGCTACGGCCTCGCCAGTTTGATATATGATTACCTTCAGACTTCTCCTTTTGCAAATAATATTTAACACCGCAGACTTGTTACCATCATAAAAGGTAAAGGTAAAGGTACCCCTGCCCGTACAGGCCAGTCTTGACAGACTCGGGTTGTGCGCCCATCTCACTCAAGAGGCCGGGGGCCAGCGCTGTCCAGAGACACTTCCGGGTCACGTGGCCAGCATGACATCGCTGCTATGGTGAGCCAGAGCCGCACACGGAAACGCCGTTTACCTTCCCGCTAGTAAGCGGTCCCTATTTATCTACTTGCACCCGCGTCCCTGTTACCATCATAAAAGTTTGTAAATGTACGTGGCAACCCATAAGTACCAGTAGGTCATACTTAGTGTATATGTCTTACTCTCAGGCACTCCTTTACCTGGGAGTAAGTCACATTGAGCACAATTGGGATTACTTCTGGGAGTCATATACAGTGGTACCTCGGGTTAAGTACTTAATTCGTTCCGGAGGTCCGTTCTTAACCTGAAACTGTTCTTAACCTGAAGCACCTGAAGCCTCCCGCTGCTGCTGTGCCGCCGGAGCACAATTTCTGTTCTCATCCTGAAGCAAAGTTCTTAACCTGAAGCACTATTTCTGGGTTAGAGGAGTCTGTAACCTGAAGCGTATGTAACCTGAAGCGTATGTAACCCGAGGTACCACTGTATATGTAGGGAGCACGGTTAATGTTTTTAATTGCACCCACAGTGTTACAGGAAAAATCTTAGGGCTCCCTTGGACAAAAATAAAGCACCAACCAGAGCAAATTGAAGCAAATCAGCAGCCTGTAGGCCTGGTCTTTATTGAAGAAAGACTGTCGCGACAGGGTGTTCCCCTCACTTGCAGGTGAGAGGAAAGACCCAGAAAAATGGTGTGCCAGGTCTTATAAAAACTTTTGAAATTCCCCTCCTCTAGATCAGGCCCACCCCCAGAAACATCATGCATATATTACAGAAAGGAGGGGTTGAGGGAGGAGTTGGTGGTAACCTGAGTGTCTTGTCACCTGGCTGGTTCCTCCTTTCCCCCCACCCCATGAGTCACTTCCAGGAGACAAAGGGGAGTTTGCAGTTTCCTGCCCCCTGAGGGAAGATCTGATCATTGTCCTTTGTTTCAGTCCATGCTGAATCCACTCCCATATGCAAGTTCTTTGTGATTTTGATTGTCTTCTGTCTGGGATCATCTGGGCAGGGCTCCTGCAGATGTGCTGAGATGTGCTGAGATGGTGGAGGGATTATGGCTGACCAGGAATAAGTCACCCCCCTTTGTTAGTTCTTGTCATATGGAGTAAAATAAAAATGGAACAGTGCAAATCCAATGTATGGTTGATTTTCTATGAATTTATAACAGAAATGTGGCGTATGTAGTGTGTGAGTGTGTGTGTGTGTGTGTGAAGTTTGTACAAGCAGAATGATTGGGGTGGGGGGGTTCCTGCTACAACAGAAAATTGCACCCACAGAAGAACTTGCATAAGCACAAATGCAACTTTCTCTCCCTCCTCTCCTTGAATGCCCCTCAAATCTGGGCCTTTTTAGTTCCATCATCTGTGAATGCGGGTAAGTGGCTGCAGGATTGGCAAACACATTTTTACAAATAAGAATTTAAGTTCTCTGACTTTTCCAAGTTTATGTGCCTAGGATTGAGCCATGAAAGAACGCATTTTGCTTTGTGTTTTTCACCAGGTTTAATGCACTTTCAAATTCTTGAGAAAATGAAAAACGTCCAGACTTTTAAGACCTATAAAGTTTGTGTCACAGAGTTCCCAAAGAATCCTAAAAGAAGAATACCCTTTTGGTTTCAGTCTGCTTTTCTTCCCCTACAGGGCCTCTGGTGTTGCAATGACAAGTGATTTTTCCTCTGAGAAAGCGCCCTGCCCAGCCCCTCAAATAGTGTGTAATTTACATATCCAGAAAATGGGGCTGTTCCAAGTCAGAGGCAAATGAGAACAGAGTTTGCAAACTCTCAGAGGTCAATGAGAGCATAGCGTGCGAGTGTTTGTGATTCAGAATTGCTTCCTCTTCTGCTATATACTTTTATTGCACAACTTCTGGTCACGCAGAAGCAAATCTGCCTTTTAAAAGGGGTTGTGACAAGACTGAGACAGCCAACAAGATGACCCAGAAAAAGGCAATAGAGAATCTTTTAGCTATGCTTCAAGTGGAGGAGAACGAGGAGCTGCTGTTTACTTACAGAGGAGTGCTGTATCCAAAACTTTGTAGTCCTGGGACTTTTGAAGCATTGGAAACCATGGAAGCTAGGAAGGACGATAGGCTGATTGTTGCTTATCCAAAATGTGGTGAGTATCCAGCTTTTAATTGAATTAAAGGGGAATGGATTTGGTTACCAATTGCTATCTGACCACATACGATTTGTATGTTTATTTCCCCCATGTAATCTGGATTTACAGTTTCCATGTTTCGTTGTGCTTTTTATAAATGGTAAATGAGGATTTTGACTCCACAATGAATAACCTGTTGTGTGGAAGTGCCTTCTAATAAAGTTTGAACAAGGAAACCAGTGTTTATTTGATACCCAAAATGAACTGAAATGGGTCCCAGGTGAATACATTTTGGGGTGCCTGGATTCCCTCTTTCCTCAGTGGCTGAGCACCCCACAACAGCCATGAGCAGCGACTCAAGGCCCTCTTTTATGTGGAGAGGAGATGTGTGCCACATAAGTCCTTGGCTCCAACCCATCCTCCATGTGGCTCAGTGAGGCTTCTGAAATGGAAAAGATAGTCTCTTCCAAAGCAAGGCAGCATGTTACCAACAGCAGGTGGGGAGGAGGCTGTGGCAAGGCTGGGCTGGGGCCAAGTGGGGAGGAAGCTCTCTCACATAAGAAGAGGAAATAAAAGACTGCAGTCTCCAGGGCCAGCCAAGGGGCTTGCATGGTGGCAACAGCCATTTAATCTGGATTTATCATTTCTGTTATGTAGTGTATTTTCACCCTGGGCCAACAGGGGGATACTGTATATAGTTTTCACTCAGGTCTGTAGATAGTTTTCACTCAGGTCCGCGGCAGTTATTTTAGGCGGGAACTCTGAGCTGTTGTGGTTACAATGTTGACAGCCGGCTGCCTATAAATACAGGCCGGCTGAGCTGTTCGCAGTTAGTTGTATTCCAGCTTACCAGAATAAAGAGCTACTTGAAGAAATCGCTGTGCCGGCTGCTATGTCAACCCACGACTTAACACTGGCGACGAGGATGGGATTGATGGACATCAGAGCACAGCCAGATGCGGCCAGCCTCTGAACTGAGCTGAATCACTGAGCTGAATCACAGAGCGAAATCACTGAGCGAAATCACTGGGCAGAACCAATTCAGAGCTGACTGTTCTGGCTAGAGCACTGTGTTCCATCCATCGCCCTTCACGCCGGCATCGGAATCATGGCTTCACTTGTGCCTCTACCGCCGTTTGCGCCAGCCTCTGAATCATGGGACTCCTACCTCGCTCGGTTCGACTGCTACCTCCAAGCCAACGAGCTGACAGCAGTATCAAAGGATCGGAAGCGGGGCCTATTCCTCAGCCTCTGTGGGCCTGAGGTGTTTGAGACGGCCCGAGCGTTGGTTGCACCTGAAGCAGTCCAGGCAACACCATGGGACACGATCCAAGAGAAGCTCCGCAACCACTACGCACCAAAGCCGTCCAAGATTGCTGCCCGCCATGCGTTCTACCACCGGAACCAGGCAGAGGGGGAGTCAATCAACAACTACACCACCGCCCTGCGACAGGCTGCAATGCACTGTGAGTTCCGAGACTTAGACGATGCCCTGATGGATCGAATCGTCTGCGGGGTCCGGGACATCCATCTGCAACGGCGCCTCCTAGCCAAGCCAGACCTCACGCTACAGAAAGCCATTGAGGAGGCTGTGGCCTCAGAAGCTGCTGAACGCTCCGCCCAGGAGATCCGCAAGTCCAGCAGCCCGCGTCTTGCTAGGGAGCCAGTTCCGGTGCATCATGAAGAGGCCAGCAGTGATGAGGCATCCTCCAGTGAAGACGATGACGTGCACCAGACAAAGCGGGAGCGCAGGAAGTTCCAACAGAAGTCCAAGGGCCAACCGGAATGTGCTGGCTGCGGAGGCAACCATTCCCGTGCCAAGTGTCGATTCAGAGACGCCATCTGTAGGAAGTGTTCCAGAAGGGACCACATCGCTAAGGTCTGCCGATCGGCTCCGTCTGACACCCCTCCTTCATCGACTCGCAAGTCCAAGTCTTCACTCCAGTCTGCCAAGAAAAGTTGTTTCGCTCTCACCAACTGCCGCTGCCCGTCTGGAACCACGATTGGCCAAACCGACTCGCCTACGCGACGCAAGCTGAACGTCACGGTGCTCATTGAAGGAGCTCCATGTGACATGGAGATCGACACCGGGTCTGCCCTGTCCATCGTGTCATGGAGCACCATCAAAAGACTGGTACCCAGAGTGTCCAAAAGGCAACTCGACTCTCACCGCGTACACCTGAGAGACTACCAGGGAAACGACATTCCCGTGGTAGGCGTTGGCCGGTTCCGGATCGCTTTCAAGGATTTTTCGGGCCTGCTCCGGTTGGTGGTGGTCGAAGGTCAGCGGCCAAGCCTCCTAGGGCTAGACTGGTTTGATGCCCTCGGCCTGGAAGTCACCGGCATCAACTGCATCTCTAACGCAGAGACTGAGGGTCTGGTCAAAGACTTTGCCGAGGTTTTTGACGGCACCTTGGGCCAATATACAGGTACGCCCATCTCCTTTAGCCTTGATCCACAAGTCGCCCCCATCAAGCTAAAGCCACGCCGGGTTCCCTTTGCTCTCAAGGCTAAGGTGGACGAACAACTGGACAAACTGATCGCCCAAGGAGTTTTGGAGCCGGTTGACCACGCAAAGTGGGAAACCCCCATCGTCACGCCTGTCAAGCCAGATGGGTCGGTGAGAATCTGCGCTGACTACAAGTGCACGATCAACAAGGCACTTCAGCAGCACGCTTATCCGGTTCCTGTTGTCCAACACCTGCTGCATTCCCTGGGTGAGGGTAAGGTCTTCGCTAAGCTGGACCTTGCCCAAGCCTATCAACAACTGCCAGTCGATGATGCCACTGCGGAAGCCCAGACGATCGTCACCCACCGGGGGGCATTCCGTTGCCGCCGGTTGCAGTTCGGGGTGAGTGTGGCTCCTGGCATCTTCCAAAGCCTTATGGAGCGTCTCCTGCAAGGGCTTCCGGGCGTGGTACCATATTTTGATGACGTCTTGGTGTCTGCAGACTCACACCAGCAGCTGTTCGAGCGCCTCCGTGCCGTGCTGACCAGGTTCCAGGAGGCCGGGCTCAAGGTAAAGAGGGAGAAGTGCCAGATCGCCGTTCCACAGGTAGAGTTCCTGGGCTATCTTATCGATGCCTCCGGTCTTCATCCAACCACATCCAAGATCCGCGCTATTCAGCAGGCCCCCACCCCAAAGAACAAAACGGAGTTGCAGGCATTCCTGGGGCTGCTGAACTTTTATAACATGTTCCTGCCCCACAAAGCCACAGTGGCTGAGCCTCTTCACCGACTCCTTAGCACTAAGACGCCTTGGGCCTGGGGTCATCGGGAGACGGCGGCCTTCAACGCGGTCAAGGCTCTCCTTTCTTCAGACAGTGTGCTGGTACAGTACAGTGAATCCAGGCCGCTGGTCCTTGCCTGCGACGCCTCACCTTTTGGCATCGGTGCTGTCCTTAGTCACCGTTTTCCAGATGGAAGAGAAGCACCGCTCGCCTACTTTTCCAGGACACTATCTCCGACGGAACGGAATTACAGCCAGCTCGACAAGGAGGCATTGGCACTTGTGGCTGGAGTGAAGAGGTTCCATGAATACCTCTATGGCAGGACTTTTGACCTCATCACTGACCACAAGCCACTCCTGGGCCTCCTCGCCGGTGATCGTCCAACTCCACCGGTCCTCTCACCACGCATGCTGCGATGGACTGTTTTCCTGGCTGCCTACCACTACCGGCTCATCCATCGCCCGGGGAAATCGATGGGCCATGCCGACGCCCTCAGCCGTTGCCCTCTTCCAGCATTTGTGGAAGACCCGGCTCCAGCTTCATCGCTCCTGCTGATTGAGGATCTTCCGGCAGCGCCTGTATCGGCTGCCACTGTGGCCTCCGCATCTGCCCAGGATCGCACCATCAGCCGGGTGCTCAACTGGGTGTGGAGGGGGTGGCCACAAGGGCCTTTTGCATCGGAGTTCCAGCCCTTCGCAACCAGACAACATGAACTCTCAGCTCATCGTGGCTGCCTGCTGTGGGGAGACCGCGTCGTGATTCCCCAGGGACTCCGTCAGCGCGTCCTGGAGGCTCTGCACGTTGGCCACCCGGGAATTGTCAAAATGAAGGCGTTGGCTCGGTGTTACGTCTGGTGGCCTAATATGGACGATGCCATCACTGCCTGGGTGTCCGCCTGTCAAGCGTGCCAGGAGTCGAGGCCTGCACCACCGGCAGCTAAGGGACACACCTGGGAGACGCCAAAGACACCCTGGTCGAGGGTGCACATCGATCTGGCTGGCCCCTTTCACGGCCGGACCTTTATGGTAGTGGTGGACGCCTATTCCAAATGGCTGGAGGTCGCCCTGATGCCCTCCACCACTACCGAAGCTGTCATCCGGGTGCTGCGAGGCCTGTTTGCAACGCATGGGTGTCCTGATGTCCTTGTCTCTGACAACGGACCGCAGTTCACGTCAGGCACGTTTGAGCGGTATCTTTTGGGACTGGGCATCCGCCATGCCCTAACGGCACCCTTTCATCCATCCAGCAACGGGCAAGCGGAAAGAATGGTGCGCTCGACAAAAGAGGCACTGGCGCGGCTGGACCGGGGAGACTGGCATGAGCGAGTCGCCGAATACTTGTTCGTGCAACACATCACCCCTCATGCGGCCACAGGGAGGAGTCCTGCTGAACTGCTTATGGGCCGCCGCCTCAGGTCATCGCTCGACCGGCTACACCCAGACTTTGCCGTGGCTGAACCCCCAGGCTGTGCCAACGCACCACGGTCATTTGTCCCAGGAAACCAGGTCTTTGCCCGGAACTATGTGGGGGACATCCCTTGGGTGCCAGCCACAGTAGTGGGAGTCACTGGACCTCGCTCGTACCAGGTGGCACTCGAAGACGGACGCTTGTGGCGACGGCACATAGACCAGCTTAGGCGCAGGGTTGGGGACTTGGACACTACCGAGGTGCCCCCAACTGCACTTGCGGCTCCAGAAGAGACACGTACAGATGGCGAGGCCCCACCTACACCTCCCTCACAAACTGCCAGCGTGGAGCCGAACCAAGCCGTTTCAGAACAGACTCAGACCACTCCACTTGCGGAGGCTCCACCCACAGCAGCGGATCCAGGGGAGTTGGTTCCAACGCCACCTAGGGTCACACCACAGCCTCAGCGAGAACTGTGTGGCCCTCCGGACTTGGCTACCAGTCCCCGGCGGTCTGGCAGAGTTTCCAAGCGCCCAACTTATTTAAAGGACTATGTTGTTGGACAGGTATCACTGTTGGTCTAAGTACGGGAAATGTAACCGATATGCTTTTGTGCTTAATGGAACCATTACGCGTAGTGCTGTATATAAGGAAACCATTACGATTGTAACTAACGCCTTATCTCGGTGGGGAGGGGTGTTATGTAGTGTATTTTCACCCTGGGCCAACAGGGGGATACTGTATATAGTTTTCACTCAGGTCTGTAGATAGTTTTCACTCAGGTCCGCGGCAGTTATTTTAGGCGGGAACTCTGAGCTGTTGTGGTTACAATGTTGACAGCCGGCTGCCTATAAATACAGGCCGGCTGAGCTGTTCGCAGTTAGTTGTATTCCAGCTTACCAGAATAAAGAGCTACTTGAAGAAATCGCTGTGCCGGCTGCTATGTCAACCCACGACTTAACAATTTCCATGTTTTGTTGTGCTTATCAGAAATGGTAAATGGGGATTTTGGATGCCGTTGAAAACCTACATGCATAAGTACCTGCATCCACAATGAATAAGCTGTCATGGGGAAGTACCTTCTGTTGCAGTTAGAGCAAACAAACCTGTGTTGTTCCTTTTTTAATCAGGGGGAGTCACTTTTGAAGGGGCAACTGGAGTATTGGTGAGGGTTTTCTTTGTTGGCCCTTTGTTGGAGAAGCAGCTCTTAACTTTCTCAAATACCTGTGCCCCCTTTTCAGCTTCTTTTACTTCCTTTTATCTGCTGGTATTGTCTTTCTGTCTCCCTCTCACATTCTTTTGTACTTTGTTCACTTTCTTCCACCTTGTGCCACCTTCTCTGCCATTTTAATTCACTCCTCTGTGACTCTAGTTCCCGCCTAATGTCAACCTTCCTGAAAACAAACAGGATTCATGGAAAAGGTTCCTCACCCTTAGAATCTAATGTAAATGACAAGTGCTCTTTCTTGCCCCTTTGTTGGATGAAACATGAAGAAGCTCCTCGGATTCTCCCACAATGAAGCTTTCATTCCAAAAGAATTGTTTCCCTTCACTTTCAAAGTCTTGACCCTTTACAGTTTGTTTCCAGCTTGCATGATGGTGACAGCTTTGCCGTGACTTACCTGGTGTCACCTTGTGACCCACCTGCAGGTCCCAACCCACTGGCTGAAGACCTACGATTTAAGCCGACTGCCATATATGAACATGACTGCATTTGGTTGTGCAGCTTATGCTCTTGTGATTCATATATGTCTCATTTGCTTTTATGTTGCAGGTACTAACTGGGTGCTCCAAATGGTAAATGACATGGTAGCCGCAATCCCAAGTTACAAGGACTTACCACCACTGGAAAACCTACAAATGCTTGAATTTGGACTGCCCACAAAAGTTCAGGTAGGGTAAAGGGGGGAGGGAGAGAAGTGAATACCTAGAATCAAAGAATTGTACAACTTGAAGAGACCCAAATGGTCATGTATTCCAAACCCCTTTGTTTAGTTTGTTATTCTTCTTCTGTCAATATGTAACTCAAAGTTGTTGTTGTTTTTCAATTATAAAGCTCAATAAAAAGAAGAGGAAAAACAACCCCTCTAGATCCTGAAACAACAACAGGGTAACATGTAACATTCCTCTAATTCTTATTCTAGGACATGGACAAGCAGCCTTCTCCACGTATTTTTGCTACACATTCTCATTATGATAATATTCCCAAATCTTTTTTTGAGAAGAAGGTGAAGGTAAGTGACTAGCTTCACTACTATTATGATTGCCTAATACTCTAACAGCATTTAATCACAATAGTGAGTACTTAATAGAGGTATCTTAATTTGACAGATCTTGTCATATTGTCAAAGCAAATTCTACATCAGTTGGCCTAAATCCAGGCTAACAGAGCATTCCAACCCTCCCTCGGACTGGGTTGAGAATTTGTGTGAGGACTGAGCAGAGTTGTTCCACTGCGCGGCTCTCCTGGCTGGTTTGGATTGCTCTCTCCTGCTTTGGCTTAGTTACTCATGACTAAACCCATTGATTTCAATGGGACCTGGGTACAACTAAAATCTGGACCCACTGCATTCTTTGCATAGCTGGAGGCAAAGGTGCTGCTTTATCTGTAATCTCTGTGTGAGGTAAGGGACCTTTGAAACTGTTCTGTTTACATGCGGGTCTGATGAGCCAAGCTACAGAATTATGTAGACAATCTCCTTTTCCCCATCTTCTTCCTCCGAATTAGATACTCAGTTTTACTTGGGGGAAATTCGAAAGAGGGAACTATGAAGCAAAAGCCATTACCAAATCTCTTCAAGGCAAGAGGAAGCGTTATCTACTTTTGCTAAACTTCCTACCTTTTGTTGTGGCAGTCTGTTATATCCCCACAACCAGTTTAAGCGAGATGGGCAAGAACAGACAACATTTTAAGACACCAGCTTTTTCAACATTTCCATTTCAGTTTGCACTGATATGTTACTTTCAGTACACTATGTCCACAACCTATGGTCTGGGGATCACACCTAATGCCAAAATTGCATATACTCAAAACACATTGGGTTCAATGGTAGTTGGGACTGCCCAAGTCATTTCCCCCAGAACCCTGCACCCCCTTTTAATTTTTTTAAAAAAATATTTTCCCACTTGCGTAAAGCTAAATGAGCTCAAGCTTGCAACTTGTCTGCATTTAACTTGCGCAATAACAGCTTTACTTGTATGGCGGCACACAAGGCAGAGAGCTCTAAAGCACTTTTCCTGTCACAGAAAGAGATTTTAAGCTCTTAGCCTTTCTTATTGGGCTCTGGGAAGGTCTCGCATATGGGCTATGAGAGGCTCCTGGGAGAGATTGTGGGAGCCACATAGAGCCTGTGTGAGAGGGTCCCTTCCAGAGCAAGGCACAGCGCTTAAGAGCTCTGCCTTAGGTAGGGGCCAATGGCCTCCTTGATGTGTCAGCTCCAGAAAGTTAGAGATGTTTGCACAGGGGAGGTTCCAACAAAATCTAATATCTCTTTTTTTTCTTTTAAAATAGATGTTGGTAGTATTTCGAAACCCCAAAGATGCCGCTGTATCCTATTACCATTTTTACAACAAAAACCCTGTTCTTCCAAATTTCAGCTCTTGGGATGATTTTTTTCAAAGGTTCATGAGCGGCGAAGGTAGGTTAGAAGTTCTCACTTTCTGTATTTCTGAAACTTCCCACAAAGTATTTGTGTAGAACTTCTGTTCAGATGAAAGGCAAGTAAGTTCAGATCACTTCAGATCTTGATTGCAGGGAAAAGCCCACAGTCGATATTTCTTTTACTCAGACTTGCATCATCAGTAGCTGTCCTTCATATGGTGGTAGATAGCCAGACTCATCACTGATGGGTGATATGAATTTAGGCATCTTTTCAACACCTGATGATTTGTGTAGATTTTACGTGTCACAAAAATGGCTGGTTTTTATCAGTGTTGGGTAAAATGGAATGAACGAAGTGTTGTATTCTCATTGTAGGATATGTGCAGCTTTTGCCAGCAACTGATATTATTTTGTATACCCCGCCCAACACCCGGGATTTGAAATATGCTGTTTGCATTTCATTTTAGTTTGTTGGCAGTCCTACTTTGACCATGCTCTGGCTTGGGACAAACATATGGATGACGAAAATGTCATGATCATCACATTTGAAGAGCTGAAAGAAGTGAGCATTCTTTGAAATTGAGATAATGTTTTTGTGGTGCATTCATTTTTCTTAGATGGCCAAATCAAGCTGTAAGTGGAAATTAAGACAGATGTATTGATGGTTGTTGAATTGGTAAAGGGAGAGGTGTTGTTTTGCTTTTCTGTTTCTGCTCCCTTACCCCCGCCCCCCCATTGCCTTTGGTTTTCTTTTCCTTAATAAACCTGTAGTTAATAATTATTAGAAATGCATTCATTTTTGACTGAGGTTTGGAAGTTTTTTCTCATGCTGCGAAGTACTTTCTGCTGTGTTTCGTCCAGTTTGACTTTGCTTCTGCCACAACTATTTATGTTAAGAGCATGAGCAGTGTGTGTGTGTGTGTGTGTGTGTGTTTCCTTTAGCAGGTTTGCATAATTTAAATGTTTTAAAATTAAAAAATAAATTGCAATCCTGCAGTTCATGAAATACTAAGCACACCAATATGCCAGTCTGATTAAGTATTGTGGTGTAATCTCTCTGGGTGTGCTCATTCACAGGCTAACTAAGTTTATCAGAAGTAATGTTCCAAACTTTTAATCATCTCAAACATTTCTGAGTTAAAAGGAATATAGATGATTGAACATGGCACACTGGAAATGGGAAAAAATGGATAGCAGATATTTGTGGGGGGGATGCTTTTCAAGGAATATAAGTTACAGAAGCAAATAGAAAGTTATAAATAATGCACCTTTGCTATGACAATGTTTCTGTGCTTCCTTTCACGCTGCACTTATTTTGCTAATATCAGATGCACCTTTTTAGAATAGCTAAAGCACATACATTTATGAATATATTTATTCAGATGTTTAGCCTGCCCCATTCTTGAATCTTAGGGCTGATTCTAACTTAGAAATCTACCTTAGTACCAAATATATTTATGAAGTCATAACTAACTTTATTGTTATTTTCCAGAATCTTCACGAAGGAGTGAAGCGAATAGCTGAATTTTATGAACTACCTCTGTCGGATGAAATGATTAAATCTGTTGCAGAGAGCTCTACCTTCCAAGCAATGAGCAGTAAATCTGAAGAAACACATGGTCGGTTTGCTCCTATCCTTTTCAGGAAAGGTACTGCAGTATTGATTTTATGCCACTAGTTTACAATGAATTCTATTTCTTCCAGCAACACAAGCACCCTCTAGTGGTGCCATTTATGGAAAAAACCAAAATAGTTTTGACCCATTTCCTTCTTTCTCTCTCCCATCCCACATATAGAACCAAAGTTCAAAAGCACTAAGAACACTTATAAAGCCTCTGTAAGACCATTCTCATTTTCTTGCTATCATTAGAACAAGAGCATCTTATGGTCCAGAATAATTTACACATGTCATACTTTAAATAGGCAAATTAGTCTGCAAAAGTGGAAGCTACTTGTGCTGTGATATCACAGTTTTCTGCATTCTTTCCTACCAATGATATCCAACTTTGTAGAGCAGGCTTCCTCAACCTCGGCCCTCCAGATGTTTTGAGACTACAGTTCCCATCATCCCTGACCACTGGTCCTGCTAGCTAGGGATCATGGGAGTTGTAGGCCAAAACATCTGGAGGGCCGAGGTTGAGGAAACCTGATGTACACTAAGAGGCATAAAAACCATGAGCCCAGGGCAGCTCATGTTTTATTATGTCAATAACAAGACAGTTAAAACTGTGAATAGTGGTCTACGTGATCTGGGAGTTGGGGATCCTATTGAACTTGAAAGGTTCTAAGTGGACAAGCATAGGACTGCACAGTGGGATAGATGGAATTCAGTGGGGCTTATTTGCAAGTGGGTTGGGATACAAATAATGCCTAAGTGCTCTAACTGTAAACCAATTAGCCACAGTATAAATTACTTCACTGTGTAATTTAAACCACACTATTCTTTACAATGCTACCACATCACGTTTCTTTAACCAGAACCATTTTGACAGGGATAAGCTTCCAGTTTTGTTTTTGTTTTTCCATTGGTTTCAGACAACAGAATATTTCCACAGATCAAAGCAAGCTTCTCTACTCTTTCTCGTGTTTGCATTTTTCTTGATTGGTGTCAGACTCCACCCCCCACCCCACCCCACCCCAAAAAAGAATAAGTTTTTTTCACCTGCTGCAAAGATAAGAGACATCCGCAGCAGGCGAGATGATTTGAGAGTTCTACAAGTTTACAATATACTGAAATTATAATTATGTTAAATTCTCTTATATAGCTACTAGAAGAGTAGCCAGTGCATTACAAGGAAGTAAGAATGATATTTTAAAAATCTTGCCTTAAAAACATGTCAGCCATCATTGTAAGATAATATATTTCATAGTGTGTGTGTCTGTGTGCGTGTGCGCGCTTCTTTTAATTCTCAAAAATCTTTTCTCTCTTCACTTGGGAGGAAAAGCTGTGTTTCAATAATGATGATGATGATGTTAAAAGAAACAGAAATATTTGAAGAAGAAAACCTTGCAACTGCATGCACAATGCACACATATACCCCTCAAATGTTTCTGTCACTCACTCTTCACATCCCCAAACAGCCCATTCTGATGCATGCTAGTAATGCTCTTCCTTGCTTACTCCCAGGAAAGGGTGCATAGGGTGGCAGGATGAGAAGCATGACAGTACACCCTTCTGCTTTAACATTCCAAAACCATAAATCTGATCTGTGAACCTCTACATAGGGAGGCATATATAGTGAGATTCATTTTTCATTGTTTCTTTATAGGTGCTGTGGGTGACTGGAAGACTTTGTTCACTGAGGCTCAGAGCCGGGAAATGGATGCAAAATTTGAAGAGTGCTTAGCAGGAACTAAACTGGGTGCAAAGCTAAAATATGACCAATATTGTAAATTTTAAACCTTTGGATTTGGAGGTTATTATCTGAAGCCTTTGGGTTAAGAATAAATTGATGTTTAAGTGCTATATACATCTATGCACAGAAAATTTTTAAAAATGCTCTCAGTCTTTTTTGCTTTAAAATCATGTAATCAAATTCCTAACATACTAAATGGGGACAGCATGAAGTTCAACACATATGTGTTATGAAGTATTTCTGGGGTGGTGATCTCTTCTTTAATGGCTATGTCCTACTTCAAAAGATATGCTGTACTTGTTTTACCTTCTCAATCATATTGTGGAGCCAACCCCCCTCCCCATCCCATTTTGGTATATGCAGTCTATGCCAATAACACTGACTCACCTTGCAGCAATGTTGCAAAGATGACTGAGGTACTCTCTGCAACATGCTTTATAAGCACTTACTGTATAATACTTAACATTTACTTATTTCAACAAAACATCTGTCCTCAAAGACAGCGATCCTAGTCCCACAGCTCACAACTGTCTACATGCACACCATACATTTAAAGCACATGGTTCCCCCAAAGAATCCTGGAAACTATGGTTTACACCTCACCACACTACATTTCCCAGCACCCTTAACAAACTGCAATTCCCAGGATTCTTTGAGAGGAAGTCATGTGCTTTAAATGTATGGGCTGGATGTAGAATCGCAGGTGCATTTCATTCTCACAGCAACTGGCAAAGGCGTAACAAATGTAGAAAGCTACCATGGCAAAGTATGGCAGGTGTGGGGAATCGTTGACCCTCCAGATGTTGCTCCCACCATCCCTAGCCATTGGCTGTGCTTGCAGCAACATCTGAAAAGACAAACATTCCCCACACCTGAAGTAGGGAAACAAAAGCATTCTGTGCATGCTCAGAGGCACTTCTCTGTATTTCACTCTTTCAAGCTCAGCTCAGATATGATAAACATGTGTTAGGTTTCAGCCTCTAGTAAATAATATCTTAAAGTAAGCCTTGTATCAATCTGGCTTTGCCATTAGATGACACTGACAGGTTTTTTAACCAATTCTCACTGACCCAGTTGCTAGCACAATTACATTCTGGGACTGATTCTTCTAGTTTCCTTCGCAGTTAGACCTAACAGTGCCATTACAATACTGTATATTACAACCCTTCAAGGCTTGTACCAGATACGTATACGTTGCAACCTGAAGCACAGTTCTAACCATGTTTAGTCATCCCATTGACTTCATTGGGTCTTACTCCCAGGTTAATTGGGGTTAGGACTGTGGCTTGAGTTGTTCAACCTCTACTGATACATGACGATCATTGTTCATGGTCTTGGGTATGAATTTGAAGGCACATGAAATAGCGACATTATGGAAACTGAGATGTGGAACCGGCGAATGTCAGAACAGGAGATCATCTGGGAACCCCAGGTGCAGTTTTTTGTCCCCCCTGCTCAGTGTCTGCTGTCCTGGCGTCCTTTGGGAGGAAGGGCAGGGTATAAATCAAACAAATAATAACAATTCACATTAGTTGAGCCTTGAAATTGAGGCATGCATCTGCTCAATGCCAGATTAAGCCACCTAACGCCCTAGGCGAGCTGCTTAGATGGAAGACAGCTAGGATCCCTAATGCCATTACTCAAGCCAGTTTCGGCAAAACATCCATCCATTCATTTCTATGCCGCTTTATAATTCTAAGAAGAAGAAGAAATCTCCAAGAGGTTTACAGCCCACATCAAACTATCAGAGAAAGCAATGCAAAATAAAACAATGCAGAGGAAAGTCAAGTTATAAAGCATGCATTCAAAGCAACATAATTAAACGAAGACATCACCATAACCGTTGCAAAATAACACTTTATGATAGGAATTCAGATAAAGTTGGAAGACGAATGATTCAGTCAGGTATGCTCCCCCCCCCCCACGATGCCTCTGAACCAGAACCCCTTTTGAGGCGCAGTTATAAAATCAACCAAAAAGTCGGGAGGGAACTCTCCTAGCGACCAGGCTGGGCGGTGAGGAGACCAGGCCGGAAGTTCCAAAGCCGACACACGTTCCCGTTACCGCCAGCGGCGCGTTTCAGTTTCGATTCTCCGCGGTGGCCGCCTGTGCCGGGGAAGGAGCGGAGCCCGCTTGTTGCAGGGAAACGAAAGCGGAGCAGCAGCGCTTCCCGCAGACGGACGAGTCTCCCGCTCGGAAGCAGTCGTCTGCAGAGGGGGCTCCGCCGCTTTTGGCCCGGACTTGTCCCAAGGGAGAAGCAGCTGCCCACCGACCACCCCGTGGCGCCGGTGAGTACGCCGAGGTGGTCCTGACCCCGCCGACGGGAGGCGTCCAAAAGTCGGCGCCCCGGGGCGGGGGCGCGGGAGGAATCCCACCCGATTCCTACTCGTGCCAGCCTGCTTAGTTCCAGCGGGGCTCCTTCCGAGGACGTGGGCTTTGGGCCGAGGCAGGTGGCCGCCTTGCAGGGGCGCGCCGAGAGGGGTGTTTCTTGCCCGGGCAGAAAAACAGTGACTTTGTGGTCCATTGCCCCTTTGCTGCCAGGGAGGGCGAGAGGCACTTCTGGAAGGTTCTTTGCCAAATACTTTTTCACGGCCTCGCCCCTTGATTTGGGCAGGAAGGGAGAAGGGCGCGCCGCTGTGCCCCAGGGCAGGCGGTCCTCCTGTGAAGAGCATTGCGGCCGCTTTGGCCAGCCTGGGTCCAGGGGACGGCGCGGGTGACCCTGCTTGGCTTTCCCCCTGCAAGTTTGTTTTGGCCACAGCGTCACCAGTCACCGGGCGCTGTGCTCCTTATCAGTTGGTTCACCATGTCCCAGGTCACAGAAAAGCGAGTCAGCGTTTGAGTTAATCTGAACTCTTAGGCTGGATCGATAGAATTGTCGAGCTGGACGGGGCCACGGCGGTCATCTAGTCCAATCCCATGCAATGCAAGAATCCTTTTGCCCAGCGTGGGGCTTGAACCCACCACCCTGAGATTAAGAGCCTCACGCTCTACTGACTGAGCTATGCCTGCAGCTGCTCAGTAATAAGGAAAGGGAAGGTTGAAAATTGCCTGTTGAGAAGTTTGTAATAGAATTTTTCTTCTTGGCATCTAAGGTCTTCTCTGCATTCTTCCCATAGAGCTGCTGACAAGCTTTCTGATGGGGGAATAGGGAGAGTGTTGTAGGGGCTCCTGTGATGTTATGTTTAGAGGCAGCAGAGAGAGCCACTCTCCTGCCCCTTTCGCCCCCACCACACGGACTAGCAGATTGGCGCTAGTCTGGGTGGTGGTGGAACAAAAGAAGTGTGAGAGAGTCGCTGTTCATTTCTTTTCTTGGGGGAAATGCCTTTGCTTCCACTCCCAGTTTCCCAGTTGGAACGCTTCTGAGCAGCTTCCAGTTCTACAGTTCTTTGATTCTACGATTCTGTGTTTGTGTTGGGCCTCCTGGGGAAGTGGTGGTGGAAAAGTGGTGTGAATGGGGTGTGTGTGTGTTTCCCACAGTCTCTTTTCCAAAGTCCTCTGGTTTTCCCCCTGGTTTCTGTACTTATAACATAAGGGGGTGGGGAGTGTTGTTAATAATACAGTGTCCCTTCTTCGAATTTATTTCAGTTTCCTAGCCTGTACCAAAATGGCAGACAACCAAGCTGTTCCAAGAATATACATGGCGAAACTTAATGAGTATTGTCAGAGAAGACGTTTACGATTGGACTATAAGGATCTTGGTTTCGATGGCCCATCTCATAATCCTGTGTAAGTGGAAGAGGAATGTTGGGAAGTGGGGACAGGGAGGAGTGAGGAAATTCACACTTCCTTCCAGATGTGTTTTATGCAAAAAGTAAACAGAGCTGGAATATCGGTATGGCAACTAAATTAAAGGATCAGTTTTTTCTGGATAGCCTTCCCCCCACACCTATGTAAAGTCCTTCCCAGTTTACTTGTGTACAACTGAAACACTTCCTTAACCGTCCCAGTTTCTTGGTCCACTAAGATTTTCCAACTCAAGAGATAAAGCATAACATAGGACCAGGCTTCCCCGACCCCAAGACCTGACATTGCCTTTTGTTTCTCATTCCAATTATAAGGGTGGGAGAAAGTAGTGCATTTTCTGTGTTGTTTTGCTTTGTTGTCCCTCTCTTGCAGATAGGTTAGCAAACTATCCTTAGAAGCTGCACTGTTGAACCCTCCTATGCTCCAGACAGCTGCTTGAAACAGCATCTAATTTAGTAGGATGGCTTACTGTGGCTCTCCAGATGTTTTTGGACCCTGGCTCCCAAGGCAGCATGGCTGATTGTCACGGATGCTGGGCGTTGTACTCTAAAACATATAGAGGGCACATGCTTGGTGAATGGAGCCTTATAGGACATAAAAGGGAAGCTAGCATTAGGCACACTTTACAAATAATAGGAATGAGAGATTTACAGGAGCAAACTATCCAGATATTTCCCATTTCTGTTTATCCAGCATACAAGACTTAAAGCATAAAATTCAATCTGCAAGCATATTTTGCAGACTGTGGGCTTTTAACTCTCTCTTTTTCATTGCAGATTCACTGTAGCAGTTGAAATAGATGGAAGGCAGTATAGCCAAGCAACAGGTAAAAGCAAGAAGGAGGCAAAAGATCGTGCAGCATTCTTAGCTTGGGAGTCCATACAACAAGAACTGCCAGTAAGTAGACCATAAAGGATACATGTCAAGACATACAAATAATCTAGAAAACAGAAAAGAGCCTTTGATCTTGAGGTATACTAAAAAAACCCCAATCTTTTACTTTGGTACCTCGGGTTACATACTCTTCAGGTTACAGGCTCCACTAACCCAGAAATATTACCTCGGGTTAAGAACTTTGCTTCAGGATGAGAACAGAAATTGTGCTCCGGCGGTGCGGCAGCAGCAGGAGGCCCCATTAGCTAAAGTGGTGCTTCAGGTTAAGAACGGACCTCCGGAACGAATTAAGTACTTAACCCGAGGTACCACTTTATCTCATTCTGTTTTAACATCTGCCTGAAGCTGCTAGGAAATGCCATCTGTGGGCAGGGGTAGCTGATAACATTTTGAGCTGATATGGCTGCACTATTTAACCTTGCTGTTTCCATCACAATAGGGTTTAGGAAAGTGTGCCATTGCACATGTGCAGAGTGCCGTTGTCTCCTCCTCTCTTAAAAAAACAACTAGTTATTATCTATGGATAGGGAAAAATATTCAAAGTATGATTTTCAGACAAAATTGACTTCATACATCTTATTTAGAAATTCAGCGATACCACATGTGGTAGGTTTTTGAATTAACTTTTATTATGTCTGAGATTTGGGGAAATATATTCCAAGTTTGTGGAAGGGCGTGGCTTCATATCTAGACAGGCATAGAAGCAAAACTATTCATTTTAGAAATTCACTGAGAAACTCACAAAAGAACAAAGTAAAAATAATACTGATAGGATTTTGCTACATCCCTGTGCATTTATGGAAAAGCAGATCCATACAGCATTTCTGGAAAATACTCTGGAACTGCTTGTGACTCAGATTTGCTCCAATTAGTCCTAACAAATTTTCTGCTTTGAGACTCATGGGAGTGACCTCTTTGCCATAGCTATGTTTCTGGATCAGGATTAGCTGAGTGCTGCAGAGAACAGGAGATTGACAAACCTGCCTTTGTAAAGTCAAGGAAGTGTATAATGTTTGTGGAGCAGGAAAGAGTTTATCTATTCTAGACTACACTACTACTTCCAGGGGCTGCCTTGGAAGATGGTTTGGAAATTTCAACTGGTGTATTATATTACATACACAGAATGTCATATAATTCAAATTGCATTACAATAAAATGCAATGTAAGAAGTAAAATAAGCCAAAAAATGCCATTAAAAATCAGTATTTAATGTGAGTATGCTATGGACCACCTGAATGTTTGAGAACCCATGTCCTTCTTATACAGCTAATGGTGATGAAGGTCTTTCAGGAAGCACTGCCATCTCTTAAGTTGTACAATGTTTCTGGGTCTGTCGATGCATACTATGTTGTCTCTCTTTGACCTGGACCTTTTGGTGCCAGTGTTCTTGCAGGTTGTGGGTGGCGTCACCACCTCTTTTGAAAACACTTAGTGTTCTTCTGCAAGTTTTTCTGTGGAGGGTCCCTCAGTGGCAATTCCAAGGGACGCTGCTTGGTCCCCTAGGTCTTCAGTCTATGGGGAGTTGGGTTCATATATACCCAGTACCAGGTCAGAACTAGGAATGACACGCACCTATCTTGTATCAGGTCTAGCCTTCTGGCCTTTGCCTTGTATGTGTATTGTTATTGCCATATAACATTGCTAAATACGAACAGTATTTTGTGAGGCCTGTTGCCAACTTAGAACATGAAACCCAAGGTAAGTACAGACCTCCCCATACCATGTAATAAGGAGGAATTCAGTGAGAAACCTCTCACTGTTCAAGCAAACTGACTTATACATATTGTTTACAGGCAGATCCTGTTTTAAGACCAGAGCAGCCGCTGCCTCCTCTGCCAACACCACAATATCCTGTTTTAAGACCACAGCAGCCGCTGCCTCCTCTGTCATCGCCACTATCTCAGTCTCCTGAGCCTGATGCAAATCTGGCACAACCAGCTTCTTCACTTAACTATCTTGCCTTGCTCAATGAATATTCATCGAGAAACAAAGTGGTGGTTCAATATGTTGTGGTTTCTAAATCTGGCCTGGATCACATGCCAATGTAAGTTGTCAATAGTAATTGATTTTTGTTGTTGACTACTACTCTTGGCAACTTTTTTTGGTTAAACCTAAAGCTCTTAGTGATTTGTAGATAATAGTAGATTTTTTGTGTGGTATTTGGGTGCCAGCTCATACTGAGGTTTTTTTAATTCTGGCTTTTGGGAATGGTCTGTGACATTTAGTAATTTCACCACTATTATGACTACTACTGGGATGTGGGTGGCGTTGTGGTCTAATCCACTGATCCTCTTGTGCTTGCCGATCAGAAGGTTGGCAGTTCGAATCCGCATGACGGGGTGAGCTCCCATTGCTCTGTCCCAGCTCCTGCCAACCTAGCAGTTTGAAAGCACACCAGTGTGAGTAGATAAATAGGTATTGCTGTGAAGAGAAGGTAAACGGTGTTTCCGTGCGCTCTGGCTTCCGTCACAGTGTCCCATTGCACCAGAATCGGTTTAGTCATGCTGGCCACATGACCTGGAAAGCTGTCTGTCGACAAACACCCGCTCCCTTGGCCTGAAAAGCGAGATTAGAGCCGCACCCCATAGTCACCTTTGACTGGATTTAACTGCCCAGGGGTTCTTTACCTTTATCTTACTACTATCACTACTACTATTATTGATTAAATTTATATACTGCCCGTCATTTATCTACCACTTTGGGATACCCTGGCCTAAATAAAATAAAATGTAGGAAAATGGTATGTGAGACAGGTGGCAGTGAGTTTGAAGTTTTCCATAGCCAAAGAAAGGCTTGAGGTCCCGATGCAAGGGTTTTTATTTCCCTCCACTCCCCTGCAGCTTCCCACGTGCCCTCAAAATGGAGGACCCTTCAGAGATTTTTTGAGCTTGTTCAGGGTGGAGAGAAAATGGAAGTGCCAATCTGCCTGTGTGGACTCTGCTCTGGCCATCCAATTTGTGACTCCTGACTATATGCTCACTTTTGTAACATGGACACCAAAAAAGTTTTGCTTGAGGTCATTAGAACTTTGTATGGAGATTGGGTTCCTGCCCAAGGTCTATAGGATTGCTGCCTTCGTCTTCAACAGTGTATGCTAACTTATTTTCCCCCTCCCCTCTTTTATGCCTTCTAGTTTTCACTGTGTCTGTACAATTGATGATAAAGATTTTGGTGAGGGAACAGGAAATAATAAACAAACAGCAAAACGGAATGCAGCCAGGCAAGCGTATGAAAAATTGAATGACCAAGCAACCTCCAGGGTATGTATTGCATATTCATCAGACTGTGTTTTTCATGTGTGACATTTAATGTATTTTTAATCTTTATTGGAAGCCGCCCAGAGTGGTTGGGGATACCCAGCCAGATGGGTGGGGTACAAATAAATTATTATTATTATTATTATTATTATTATTATTATTATTATTATTTACTGAAGTTCTCACCCTGAGCCAGCAGGGGGATACTGTAGATAGTTCAGGTCCACATATGCAAATAAGGGATCGAAAGTGACGTTCAGTGATTGGATAGTTACAGAAAATTGTTACTGTTGCGTTCTAGTGGAGCTCTATATAAGCAGGCTGGCTGAACCCTTCAGTTCAGTTCTGTTCTGGCCTGTGAATAAACAAGAGCTGTTTGAAGATTCGCTGTGTCGTCTGATATGTTCACCCACAACTAAACATTGGCGACGAGGATGGGATCGATGGACATCAGAGCACAGCCAGATGCGGCCACCCTCTGAGTGGAGCTGAATCACTGAGCTGAATCACTGAGCGAAATCACTGAACGTCACTTTCGATCCCTTATTTGCATATGTGGACCTGAACTATCTACAGTATCCCTCTGCTGGCCCAGGGTGAGAACTTCAGTACATAACAATTATTTTTAATTGTCAGTGTAGCCATTTTCTTTGCAGGAAGTGGGCGTGTCCTATGAATAGCTTTGCCAGCTCTCACCAGCCCCTGCCAGCAATGTGATACTTGTTGGGGTTGATGAGAATCATAGAATTGTAGAGTTGGAAGCTACCATGAGAGTCATGTAGTCCAACCCCCTGCAATGTAGGAATCTCTTGCCTGATGTGAGGGTTGAGCCCATGACCCTGGGATTAGGGTCTACCGACTGAGAGTTATAGTCCAGAACATCTGGAGTGCACTGGGTTGGCCAAGGCTGGTTTAATCCCTTTCATTTCGTTGCCATTGTTGCTTTTTGTTGCAGTAGATTTTTTAAATCCGCGGTTAAGGTATAATTCCGAATTGTTTTTCAGGCAGAAAGAAGTGCTTCCCTTCCAAATATTTCTACAAATAGTTCTAGAAATCCATCACACAGTAATTCCCAAGAATCATCACCAGAGGCATCTGGGACGTAAGTTAAACATTTAATGGTGTCTCTTTAAAGTACTCTTATTCTAATTTTTTGTTGTTGATTTAACAACAATGCTGTACAATATAGCATTCCATAATGAGCAAAAGGGACACTTATGTATAACATAGCCTTGTAAATGGAGAGGAAGGTGTGATTGGTAGCAGTTGAAACAGTGCTTTATTAATGGTAGTATCACAGCTGTGGCCCTCCTTCCCACAGGAGGTTAGATGGCCCTCTTATTTATTTTGCCAACTTCTAATGTATTTTAATCTTGCCTGTATGTGGATCTCTTATTTCAAGCCTTGTGGCCCTATCTAGGCCTTAAAAGCAGTACGTAAGTGGGCTTTTAAAAACAAAATAAAAACAGAAAGTTAACAACATTCATCAACTGCAACAATCCCTAGCAAAGCTTTAGTCCTGTGCGTGCCTTCCTTTGCTCCCCACAACTAAGAGAAGGACTTTGCTAGTGTTTAATTTGGGGTTCACAAAACCCCTTCTGCATGTTACATATAATCAGAGATCACAATTTAAAACCAACTCTGGTTAGTTAAAACAAGCCAGCTTCAAGACCCATGGGTTGAAGTCTGCTTCTTCTGAAACAGAACAGAGTTTCTGAGAGACTGAAAGGAAAAGGGTTTGGCTTTGAGATAGGAGAGGCCATTGGGGCTGCTCATGAGACCAAGGCTTTGTTTGGAATGATTCTAGCTTATTCTAGCTTGTGTATGTAGCACCAGACCATGGTCTAGTGTGTGAACTGGGCTGCTCTTTCACTTTATACAGTAGTTAAAAGTTCTTCAAATGGATTTTAAACCTGCCTAATCTTTTGAGTAGTCCGCTTTTTGGAAGTATGTTGCAGCTGAAGCTTAGATAAACCTGTTCGTTATACACTTCAGTTAAAGTTGTTATCCCTGCTTGAAAGTTTTGATTCAGACATTAAATTCAGGAGTTGCCTTTTTTAAAAAAAAACAAAAAACATAGCAAGCAGCAAAATAATCCTCTGTGCAAGAATAGAAATCTCTTGGAGAATAAAACACAGTGTTGCAGCACAGGAACCTCTGGAAGATAACAATTGCTGAAAAAGTAACATCTTAAATGAAATTATTGAAATGTACAGGCAAACCAAGTTGTTTTTGTATAATATGTCATATACAGTGGTACCTCTGGTTACGTACTTAATTCATTGCGGAGGTCCGTTCTTAACCTGAAACTGTTCTTAACCTGAAGCACCACTTTAGCTAATGGGGCCTCCCACTGTTACCGCCGCGATTTCTGTTCTCATCCTGAAGCAAAGTTCTTAACCCGAGGTAATATTTCTGGATTAGTGGAGTCTGTAACCTGAAGCGTATGTAACCCGAAGTACCACTGTATTGATATTGCATGGAAATCTGAAAGACAGGCAGTATGCTCATCAGCCTTAAGAATAATGGAAATTATGAAAACCAATCTGCTGAAAATGATTTTTGCCTTGATCCATCCCTGTAAAGTGAATGCTCTCCTCATCCTCTCTATGGTTTTCCCCCACAGGATATTTGGAAATGAAGGAAAATAATTAATTAACTTTATAACCCAAACTATTAAATAGAAACTTAAACGGTATTGAAGTGTATTTGAGAACCATTGAGAATTGGTTTTACGTTATCAATTATTCCTTACTTAAATCGTTTTTGTTCCTTTCTTCCTTTGGTTATAAATTAAAACCGAAAGGAAGGAAAACACTGAAAGAATTCAAAACTGCTGTTTGAAAACTTGTATTTCAGGTCTGCTGAAGAGGCTGTGGACCTTGCTTCCAACAAATCGGATAGTATAGTTTTTCTGAGCTCCAGTATATATTCAAAGTAAGGAACAATGTCAATGGCAATTTAAAAGTGGAGAAACAAATGGTGCTTGAGGAGAGAGTCTGCAGGCTTTATCTAGTCTACAATTTTTGTCATCTTTTTGGAAGGATTAGGACAGGGGTAGGCAACCTAAGGCCCAGAGACTGGATGCGGCCCAGTCACCTTCTAAATCCGGCCCGCGGACAGTCCGGGAATCAGCATGCATCTCTGGGTTATTTGTGGGGCCTGCCTGGTGTTTTTACATGAGTAGAATGTGTGTTTTTATTTAAAATGCATCTCTGGGTTATTTGTGGGGCATAGGAATTTGTTCATTCTCCCCCCCCAAATATAGTCCAGCCCACCAAATGGTCTGAGGGACGGTGGACTGGCCCACGGCTGAAAAAGGTTGCTGACCCCTGGATTAGGAGGAGCACAAGGAAAGTGTGTGTCCAGGCAAACAAGTTCCTGTAGTTCAAGGATACATTCCAGCCTAGGCAAAAGAACTGGGGGAGGATGTGGAGCAGAGCTAGTGAGGGATGTCATCTGGAGAGGGGCCCAAGGGCCAGCTAGTGAGGCCCACACTAGTATACAAACAGACTTCTCTTGACTTCAGAGCATTTATGGCACCTGAAGTGGATTTCTGCTTGATCAAGATTAGGAAAGACCTGAGTTATTTGCATGACCTGGAGCAGGCATGGGGATCAAATGCACCCCTCCAGGCCTCTTGGAAATCTCCTCAGGCCACATCCCACATTGGCCCAGCTTCACGCCCCCAAGTGTTTCTGCCTGGCTGGAATACATCATTGAACTCTGGTGATGCCTTGCGCTAGCCTGGATGCAGGATAGAGAGGTGCATGTATGTGGATAGAAACCAGCTTCCTGTACCAAGGTAAAATTTGCATTCCTTGATCTGCCAACTCTTGCCTCTGGCGCTGCCCGCCGTGGGCATGTGGCCCTCCAAAGGTTGCCCAGTAGGAAATGCGGCCCTCAGACGGAAAAGCAGTCCCCACTCCTAAGGCAGAGGAGATAGTGAATGTGGAAGAGCAAGTGTTTTCCAAAAACGTGAACTAGAAACATAACCTAGGAGAGTCTGGGCACAACTGAGGCCTTAATGAAAATGCTTTTTTAATGCTAAGTTACACTGTGGTGTTTTTCATATGGTTTGTCTTGCTTGCATCGTTGAGCAGGCTTAAGTAAATATGCTACGCTCACAGGGATCATAATGGGCATGCTTTCTGGTTTTGATACAAGAAATGTGTCTATATTTTATTTGGTGGACCGTTTTTATACTTTACCAAAACAAAAAAACTGAATTACCTCCCCACCCTAAACTTCAGTTCAAGATAGCCCTCCATAAATGGCAGATAATGCTGACATTCGTTTCAAATATTTCTGTAGTGGTACAGATCGGGATTCCAGCTGTAACCATGTAGCTGACAAACTTGCTAATCAGTTTGGTGCCATACAGCTAAATGAAGCTTCTCCATCCTCTCTGGTATGAAAACTTAATTTCTATTGCCATGACAGTATTAACTATTGCTCTTGTTTGTGTGCGCTAAAATATTGATCCTGCTATAATTTCTTATAGGTCAGTACTGAATTGAAATAGATTGGTCAGTCTGATGTAATTTTAAGTATACTGCCTTTCTGCCCAATGGCTCCTAGGGTGGTACACCAAGGAAATAGACAGAAGGAAAACTGGCAGGCAACAGTCTGGTTTCCCTCAGTGATGAGCAGGGGATGGGCTCATTCCATTCCACTGGAATATCAGAATATGCCTTATAATGAGTTAGACCAGTGGTCCATCTTGCTCAGTGCTGTACACATAGACTGGCAGCAACCCTCTAGGGTTTCAGATGGGATGTTCCCAGTCCAACCTGGAGGTGGAATCTGGGACCTTCCACATGCCAAGCAAGATGCTCTGCCACTCAGCTACAGCCCTTCCCCAATTTCAGGTTACTGGCCCTCAAGAGTAGTCTGTTCGGTTCCATTTTGTGTGAAATTTTTAAAAGAAGAACACAAAAAAGTCTATTTCAATGGTCTGCCTTTATTCACACTTTTAATGTAAAACACACAGTTTTTTCAATGCCATTGCACCCATTTCCCTCTAAAATAGCATTTTCTACACATCTTTTGCATAAAATAGGTATTTTTGTGTGCAATCTTTGTACACTGAAACTTCATCGCAAAGTGTGAAGAAGTGTGTAATCCAAATGGATGTTTTGTTCCAGTCAAATTCAGGCGCATCAGGTCAAGTCAGTCCATTACAAGAAAATGGATCAAATCAACTTCTACATCCCTAGCTAAGGGGCAAAGTGCAGAAGCTATAAAGCAGCTAGTCACATGGGGTTGATTTTCCTGGGTTGTTTAACTCCTCAGATCTGGGAAGTTTGAGTTGAGGTCTGTGGAGCTCCAACCAGTGGGAGCTTCCTCCTAACCAGGACCTTGTATGGTTCAGGAAACAGGAAAAATTTTCTTGACCTGCAGTGGTCCTGTTTTTGAACTCTGATGCCTGACAATAACTGCATTCTGATTTTGAGTGGTGTTTTTGAGTTTTAAGCATTTGGCACTGTGGTAGAACTTCAACATTAATTGTTTCTTCTTGATTTTGCCATAGGCAAGTCCCAAAGGTTCTGCTGTGAGACCTAAAAAGTATGTATTCATCTTTTGAAATGGATGCCCTTCATTCAGTTGATTTATCGGTTAGTTAGGGGAAATGATTTAACATCTTAAAGTAAATGGGTACTTACAGATGTTCTTGTGTTTACTGCTCAAGTGTTACAAAGTTTCATTTCCAATTTTTTTTCTTTCCTAAGAAGAGAGACACCATTGGCACCGAAATTTTCAAAGCTGAATCGAAAGCAAAGCAAGTACACCATCAATGAAAAGTAAGGGTAGCCTTCAAAAGTGCTGCTGATTTTTTTTTTAAAAAATAAGTTTCACCTTTTATACCTTTGAAATTTGAATTGAATTGAGACTACGTGGAAAGATGGTTTGTGAAGTACTGACAAAAATGCAACTAGTCGTGTCCATGTTAGTGGTAGCTGGTGATTTTAACACACACATTGGTCCCTGTCCAAGTACACACAGTCCTTTCCATTTGCTGTCATGAAAAGGTCTGATCAAATTACAACAGCTGATCTACTTTAACAAGCTGGTAGTTTAACTGAGTGGCTGTTTTCTGTGTGTGAGCTATGCTGGTGTGTGTTATTGTTTTTAATATTGTGTGTTAGGGTTTTTTTTTACTATTGACTATTGATAGCTGCTGTCAGGGAACTGCCATCAGCTCAGAGGCGAGAGATGGAAGGGCAGTTGTGTTATAGGGAGCCTCCGAAGATCTTGCAAAGGAGTTCCTTTTCTGGCGAGGAGGAAAGCCCCACCTCCAGTGGAGAAGAGGGGCAAGGACCAGAGGATGCTAGGGAGAGCCTTAACACCGAGCCTGAGAAAACCGGAGAGGTGGGAATCACACCCTTGCCAGCGCCCATTCTGTACAGTAGTCTTCAGTCCAGGGAGGGGCAAAAAAGGCTCGGGGTGATGCGACTTTTATGCTGGGGGAGTTACAATGACCGACCACTCCCAGATTCTGCTAGCGATTGAGCCAGCCATGAACTTACGACGCTCTTCACTGTAAATAGTTTGCACCAAGAATAAAGCCTGTAAAAGACAGGTCGGAGTCTTGCCTGGTTACTCTCGAGCAACCACAGCAGCATCTGATAGCTGCCTTGTGCATTCCATGAATGACAGCAAATATACCCACTGCTAGTCTGATTGGATACCTTGGCTGTGTGACTTTATTTCATCATTAAATTAATGATTGTTGCGGCTATATTGCCATTGTAACACTTTTCAAGGATTTTGACATTTAACACTAAGGCTTGCCTTCATTTTTGGAACCAGGTTTCTGGACGAATTTGAAGATATACAGAAAATTAAATCTGGTGGATATGGAACCGTTTTCAAGGCAAAACATTTCTTTGATGGTCGATTATTAGCTGTCAAACGAGTCAAGCTTCTTGTGTAAGTTACCTTGTGTTTGCTTATTATTTTATTTAAGCTAATTTAAGATTTAACAATTTGTGCTGTTTTCCACATGTGAAATTATTTTAGTCCTAATTTTAGAGGAATTGCGGGGCACTGTTAGTCAACATTTAAAAGAGTTAGGCTCAACAGTGGCTCAGTTGCTAATGCAGGAGTAGTCAATGTAGTGCCATCATCCTTGGATGACCAGGGCTGATGGGAGTTGAAGTCCATCAACCACTGTGCTAATGCATGAACAGGTGACTGGGTTAAGGACATGCCATTTGCTTTTCTGTTGCTGGGCTCTATGTTGTAATGAGAATAAATATGGCTGTATCCAACTAAATTCTATTCAGAGTCGACCTAAGCATTCCAAATCAGAAGCCCTTTTTAAAAAAGTGGTCTAAAAATAATCCTCTTTACAGTACAGACCACTCTCAACTTAAGCTGGGGTTACGTACTGGGCACAGCATGTAGAACCAAAATCGCATATAGTCAAAGTACATTGGGTCCAATGGCGGGTGGACCATTGCCAAAGTCTTTTTTGCCTGCCCCCTTTTATTTTTTATTTTAATATGCCACACACATAACGTTGAATGGGTACAGGTTAAATGCATGTAAGTTGTGAGTTACTTGTTCACATATTTAGGGTTTGTTTTGCATACATTTTTAACAATACTCTTTTCCCCTTCTGACCCCCTTCCCCCACCCCAAACCAGAGGAAAAGAAGAATCAAAAAAGGAAGTACAAGCCTTAGCAAAGCTTGAGCATGAATATATTGTTCAATATTATAATTGTTGGATCGGGAAAGATAATATCCCATCGCCAGAGGATAGTGACCAGAGGTAATTCCGCTGCATAATTAGAATCTCTCTAAGGAGCAGTTCGAAAGCACCCTTAAGTGCAAGTAGATAAATAGGTACCGCTTTATAGCGGGAAGGTAAACGGCGTTTCCGTGTGCTGCGCTGGTGCCGGTTCGCCAGAGCAGCTTCGTCACGCTGGTCATGTGACCCAGAAGTGTCCTCGGACAGCGCTGGCTCCCGGCCTCTTAAGTGAGATGAGCGCACAACCCTAGAGTCGGACACGACTGGCCTTCGGGCAGGGGTACCTTTACCTTTAAGGTGCCATGTATTCTTGTTTTTTGCGTAAACCAGGGGTGGATAAGATTTTGGCTTTATGGGCCAGATCAGCTTTGTGACATCCCCTGTTGATAGTCGCGTTCTCTTGCCCACCTGTCAGAATCACTTGCATAGGGTTCAGAAGTGCCTGAGAGTCAGCTGGCTGTCAGGCCTGTGCTTAGCACTCAAAGGACCGAGCAAAAGGCTGGCAACTCACTTTCTCCTCCTCCACCCCCTCCCACTAGCTGACGTTTATTATTTTTTGTGGGTGATCATTTTGATCGAGTTCCTATTCTAAATTTTGCGTTGTTAATGTTATTGCCCTAAGACCCTTGGTGGCCTTTTTTTAAAAAAATAGAGACAAATTAAAGACATAAATAATAAACTAAGCATTTTGGCAGTGGCTTCACTTTAGGACCTGGCATCTTTTTATTTATTTTATTTATTACTATATTTTGCTTGTCAGTTCACTGCCTAACTCTAAGAACAGATGTAGCTGTAGGTAAATTCTCTTGGTCCCAGAATCATTTCCCATAAATAAATATGATGGTGCTAGGATCCAACTCTCTCACTAGAGGCCCTGGTGACCTCAGTGGCTAGGCGTACATTTTACCAGCTAAACAATAATAATAATAAAAACTTAGACTGAGTTTTAGCAAACATGAAAAACTTAAAACAAATCCTTATTTCATGATGAATAGTCTTTAGAGACTATAATGTAACTTAAATAGAAAACTATTTTTAGAAATATTTTTCCTCTAAAAGCATTTTATTTTAAAAATCCGATTTATTTATTTTTAAAAATCCAATTTATTTATTTATTTTTAATTGATTTTTAGCCTCCCTGCTTTGCTGCCTCCATTGCATCCTCATTGTGCCATCCAGCATAGATTTTCCAGGTAGTGCAGGGCCTCTTATAGTCTGGCCCAAAGGAGGTGGCAAAACTGATGGTAGCTGTCTTTGACTTTGCAAAGTGTTTTGAGGATAAAATCACCCCAGGATCATGACTGCTGTTACAGCAGATGAATCTAAAGGGTTACAGAGCACTGTTTAGTCTTGTTGTGTTGGATGAGTTAGTAAAGCTTGAGGATGTGAACAAGGTGCTTGGATCAGTCATCTGTTTTATTTTTTGCAGGGTGGAAGCTGACTGCCTTTTCATAGTGATGGAATATTGTGAAAAGGGGACACTTAAAGATTGGATTAGTAAGGAACGTGCAAAGGAAAGCTATCATGAAGATGCCAAAATTAAATTCCAGCAAATAGTGGAAGGGGTCGCATATATTCATTCTCAAAACTTAATTCATCGAGATCTCAAGGTATGCAGATGAGAAGATTACAATATCAGGTGTGAATGATAAAAAGTAAAATATGAACTATTTCATTCCTTTATTTCTCATAAATGGCAAATGGTAAGAAAAACGTCAGGAGAATTTTTTGGCATAGCATCAGTTTCTGGTTCCTCTTCTTCAATTGTCATCCAGTATTGCTAGGTTGGGCCTATGTAGGCTTCTCAGTATTGCAAGTGGCATGAATTCCACATGGAGGTAATTTCAGACCAACACTTCTTCATAACATCATTACTTTTAGATCAATACTACCTCATCTCTTGCTGTGGCAAGGTATTTTAAAGCTGACCCACTTGTTTTATTTGCTCTCCTGCTAATAATACAATTGATGTATTTATTTTATTTTATGATTTCAGTTGTATTGGGGGTGGGCTTAATCTGGAATATACTTCGAGTACAAGGTAGACGTTTTCATTTTGGAGGGGAACTTGAAAGGCACAGCATATTCTTTAAAAAAGCAAATAAGAAGCTGAGGTGGTTCAGACACTGCAGGATAACTGTTGAGTAGACCATGATGACTCACCCAGAGTTTAATGACTTTTACATCTGAATATTTTTGTTTGTTTGTTTCTCTCTCCCCCCCCAGCCAATAAATATATTAATGTCTAGAGACAATAAAATAAAAATTGGTGATTTTGGGCTGGTAACCACAGGTGTAGATGACCATTCAGTACAGCGAACAGAAAAGAGGGGAACAGTACTATACATGGCTCCTGAACAGGTAATACTTTTAATATTGGATCCATGCATTTGCAATGGCACTTTTCTCCAAGGGCAGTTGTAAATTTGTTCTGCGTACACAAGTTCACACTCATAGTGACCATCATCATCATCATCATCACCCCCATGAAAAATGCTTATGCCCCTGTGGAGATGGCAGTACCGAATCGGTGGCACATGCCCTTCTGGCTTACCCTCTTTATAAAGACTTGAGGAATGAGATTATCACCCCTCTTTTATTGTCTATTCCAGGGTGCCCAACCACTGCCACAGTGTCCTTTCTCTTGGCAGAGCAAGATGACAGCAAAGGTTGCAAGGTTTTTAGCTGGGGCAATCAGAATAAGATCCACTATTTGACTACTGATTCAAAACCCTAAAAAATATTTAATATAATTGACTTTTTATTTCTATTCTTTTTATATCGTATTTATATCATATTGTTTTATTGCTATGGCCAATGGCTGCCACAAATAAAGATTCATTCATTCATTCATCATCACCATCACCACCACCCCATTATTACAACAACAACTCCTCTAAGTTAGGTTAGACTGAGAGGGAATGGCCGTCTCCAAAACATTCTGCTAGCTTAATGACTGAGTGGAGAATTGGGAAAGAACCAACTGCCTTGATCCTGTAGTTAGTTTTCAGGAAAAAAATGTCAAAATGTGCTTTGAAGTGCATAAGGCCTGTATGATTAAGCTCTATGAAAAGTTCCTGTTAGAGCATGTTCTTATGACCTAATGTGTTCATGTTTGCATTGTTCACAGGTGGGGAACAAATACGGAAAGGAAGTGGATATCTTTTCGTTAGGATTAATTTTATTCGAAATGCTTTACACATTCCAAACTTATCATGAGAAACCTGAGGTAAATCTGAAAAGTTTTGTTAACAGCACATATTTTTTTCTCAGAAATCTATAGAAAATATGTATGCACAACCAGGGCTCCAAAAAGTTGAGGAGATGAAAGGGGCAGGACAGAAGGATGAAGGGGCATGTTCATGTGTCTATGCATTCTTGCTAATGGACAGTGGTCTAGAAAAGCTGACCTCTTGGAGTTCCTTCCTTCATAGTCTGGGGAATAGCAGCAGAGTTGTTAGGGGGACCTTTGGGACGCGGGTGGCGCTGTGGGTAAAACCTCAGCGCCTAGGACTTGCCGATCGCATGGTCGGCGGTTCAAATCCCCGCGGCAGGGTGAGCTCCCGTCATTCGGTCCCAGCTCCTGCCCACCTAGCAGTTCGAAAGCACCACCGGGTGCAAGTAGATAAATAGGGACCTCTTTATAGCGGGAAGGTAAACAACGTTTCCGTGTGCTGCTCTGGTGCCGGTTCGCCAGAGCAGCTTCGTCACGCTGGCCACGTGACCTGGAAGTGTCTGCAGATAGCGCTGGCTCCCGGCCTCTAGAGTGAGATGAGCGCACAACCCTAGAGTCTGTCAAGACTGGCCCGTACGGGCAGGGGTACCTTTACCTTTACCTTTTGTTAGGGGGACAGGGGAAGTTTTGCTGGGGAGAACAACCAACTGGCCGCTGCCTCCTCCATCCACTTACCACAGAGCGCACAGGATGCAGGTTTGTTGCCTTAGATGCTGGCAGTTGTTTTGCGTGATACAAATGCAGCTTGTATAAATGGTACATGTCAGGGCCGCCTCAGGTCCCAGCTCACAAGAGACCAACGCCAAGTCCACTTTATTTACAAAAGTCTTTATTGAAGTACATTGTTTGTTCCACAGCCGAGGCGCGCAGCCCCACGTCTGTTACGCTTAGACCGCTGAAGTCCCCTCTGAATCAGTCCCGCCTCTACACCAGTTTAAGAGGCTTGTGCTCGTCCACCTCTTCCTGTCCTTCCTTTTCCGCAGGGTCTTTCTGCCCCCCTGGGTTCCTTCCCTCCTGCTTTCCCCTGACGCTGAGTCCCCAGACGCCTGCTCCCCCCTCCTCCGTGCTTTGGGACCAGGCTCCTCCTCCGGGCTCTCCGCATTTCCGCGCGCCTCCACATTTGAACTTGGCGCGCGTTCGCTACCCCTGACCTTCCTCTTGACAGTTATACTACTCTCTGTACTACTCTCCGCCCCTTCCGGCAGGACGTCTTGCCCCGATCTCCTTCCCCTCTCTGCTTCCTGCTCTGCTCCGTGTGTCACACTGGGAACTCCACCCTCTTCACTCCGTTCCGGCTGGGAAGCCGGCCCCAATCTCCCACTCCCACTCGGGGTTTCCCTGCTGCTTCCCTGCTCCTGACGAGTCCCCCCTGTGGCTCCCCTTGGCCTGACCAGGGGCGCCCCCTTTTGGGAATCCTCCGATTCACTTGAGAGACTCATGGAAGCCCTCAAGTCATTGTCATCCTCCTCCTCCTCGTTCCTGGATTCTTCCCCCTCGCTCTCAGTCTCCTCCCTCATCTGTGCCTCTCTCCCTGAACCCCTGACAGTACATCTCCATTCTAGGTCGCCAGAAAGTTGCTTTGCTCTTGTCTTTCTTGCTCCTGCTCTGTCACTCGCAGGTACACACCATGAGAGAGCAGGCCAGATAGAGCTTGTTGTGCAGGGGGATGAAAGGCAGTGGGTTACAGATGCATTGCCTCCCCCTTCCCAATTTGAGACCAAGAATCTCCACTACACTCCAGCCCATAAAGCATCATGGTTTTTAGCAAGCAAATTATATTTTTAAAAACCTGTATCTGAAAAGTATTATGTTTAAGGTTACTGCTTTCTAAAGAAACCCAAAACTTTTCAGGAATTGCCACCAACTGGCCTGCTCAAGGAAAGGTTTGCTTCTATAAATTCAAGAGGCTGCTTCTGAGGCGTGTGCCTTTTTGCAAAAGGAACCTCAATCCAAATTTATTACCAGCCTTTCCTCCTGTTGAGGAATGGGAAATGCAAACCAGCCATTCACCCCTTCCTTCAAACAGTTCCTTAAGCAATGTTGTTTTACTAAATTGGAAAATGGAATTGAGACATAGAACATTGAGAGTCTGCAAGTGCTCCAGCTGTTATGGAGTCCTACTAATGTTTCTCATTCTGCTCCCAAATGTTTTTTGAAAATGAAAATGAAAAGTATCCCATTTGCAGACTTCGTTGTAATCATTAACTCTCCCTTCAGGCATTTTTCTCACTTGATTTATGAATGTGATGAAGGGGCAATGGCAGGCTCTGCCCCTCCCTTTTCATGTGTCCTTTGAATGCCTGAATGAAGCCCCTATGAGTACACACAAGGGCCCTCCAATAAATGTGTGGCATGAAGGAGTTCTTCACGTTTGTTTGTTTATTGAAGACAGGCTCCTTCAAACTCGACCCTCCAGATGTTTTGAGACTACGATTCCCATCATCCCAGACCACTAGTCCTGCTAGCTAGGGATCATGCGAGTTGTAGGCCAAAAACATCTGGAGGGCCGAGTTTGAGGAAGCCTAATTTAAGACCTTTATATACTGCTTTTAATTTATAAATTCACACATCTCAAAGTAATTTGCTATCTATCTATCTATCTATCTATCTATCTATCTATCTAAACTAAGTTAAGTAACAGTGAAACAGCAATAGTTTTCAACACAAGTGGAACAAGGATGTTTATGTCTTCGGACACCAAACATTACGGTTTCCCCCCCCAGGGCTCTTAACTCATTGGGAAGTTCCTTAACTGTTTCAATATTCCAGATGTCTTGAACCCCAACTGAATCATGAGTTGCTTCCTTCATGTATCACTGCTACAAAGTTTTATCAAACTGCCTTGAAACTTGGGGCATTGTGTGTTTGTAGGGAGAACAGGGTAATGAAATGCAGAACCTTCAGATACAGTGGTACCTCGGGTTAAGAACTTAATTCGTCTGGAGGTCCGTTCTTAACCTGAAACGGTTCTTAACCTGAAGCACCACTTTAGCTAATGGGGCCTCCTGCTGCCGCTGCACTGCCGGAGCACGATTTCTGTTCTCATCCTGAAGCAAAGTTCTTAACCCGAGGTACTATTTCTGGGTTAGTGGAGTCTGTAACCTGAAGCGTATGTAACCTGAGGTACCACTGTACTTTGCAGTAAGTGCTGTGAGTCCCTGTTGCTGAAAGAACCCAGGCTTCATTTTGAAGAGAGTCTTTTATCCTTTTGGCATATCCCAAACAGGTATCAGTGATATTACTACACGATATTGGATGGTCCATTCCAGGCAAGAAGAATGAAGTGTGTATGCACACTCAACTCCTGTTCCTTTATCCCATGTACAAATGTGGAAGGAATTCAGTTTTCCATGTTTGGGAACTTGGGCAGCTGTTTGTGTCAAAATGGCAGCTTTGAACTTGGCCAGTGAAAATTGCATCACACGAGGTATTCTTAAGTGACACTGTGTATTATTTTTCAGAGATTCGAGAACATAAAGAAAGGCGAATTTCCAGAACCGTTTACAAAGGAGTTTCCAGAAGAGGTATACTGTGGCAAAGCATTTTTTATAGGTTGTCTTTTCCATGCTTGTTGTAATTTAAAATAAAAAACAATCTCTCCTTTGTTTGCAGGTATCTCTAATTAAGAAACTGCTTTCAAAAGTGCCATCTGACAGACCATCGGCACCTGCCATTTTGCATATTTTAAAGAAAAGGCAGTATAGCCCACACACTTGTTAACTAATACCTGTCCAAACACAACTGCAGAATTTTGGTCTAAAGGTAGTGGTTCCTTTTGCTGTTGCTAATATTGAAAATCTTGTCTGAATCAAAACTGTGGCACCTGGAAATTTAACTCTGGATTGCCTCTTGCTATATGTTCTGCTGTGGCCTTTGAGGGGAGCTGCAGGGTGCTCTTGTGGAGGCAAAATTTCTCTGAAGCCAGAACTAGACGCCTGTGCCTTGTATGTGTGGCTGTCTTTAAAAACTGTCCTGCTCTCTCATGGGAGGCTCAGCCTCAGTGGCTGGAAGCCCATTTTACAAGCTGTGACAGATATGGTCATTCCTGGACTGAGAGAACTTGACCACAGTGGTTCAGGCATTGGTGACTTCAAGGTTAGATTACTGCAAGGTTAGATTACTGCAGTGCACTCTTTGAACTTGATTCGCAATATGCTGTTAGTGCACAATGCCGTTGCATGATTGCTAGCAGGAAGAGATCCTCTGCACAGAACAGCTTTGCTCAAAGAACTGCACTGGCTGTCCATTTACTACCAGGCCAGGTTCAAGGTGTTAGCATTAGGGGTAGGATCACCTTTCAAGAATGCTTCAATCTACATTAACCCGCACTGTTACAGGTGCCTCATAATACTTAAAAGACATCAATCTTTACTGCAGCAGCACCTTCACTTTGAAACTTGCTGCCTGTAGACATCAGGCAGGTGCCTTCATCACATTCTTTTTGGCATCTGCGTAAAACACATTTGTTTACGCAAGCGTGTCCAGATACGTAGAAGCCACATGTGCTTTCTCTCTTTTTAGGTATGGGTTCTTTTAAGCAACTTTTCAATGTTTTTAAATACCCGTGCTTTTTATTGAGATTTTTAAAGTGTTTTATTTCATTTTTTTGTAAACTGCTTAGAGGTTTTCTTACAATCAAGTTGTATATAAATTTTGTGGGTTTTTTGTTTTTTTCTATTTGGTTTCTGCCAGGAGAGTTCTTTTACTTTTTATCTGCAAGATTAAGTGTTTGTTTCCAAAATTCCACCTATTTTATTGATGGCTCATCATATGCATTTAATAATTACTAGTAATAAATAATAAAGGAAAATAATATGAGTGACATAATATGAGGCTTTTGAAGTAATCGAGGTTTTGGAGCTATCTCTGCTTGGAAGCCTGTGTTGAAAACCTAGCTGTGGTTTGGTAAGACATAGGAAGCTGCCTTATACTCAGTTGACCCATTGGTTCATCAATATTGTCTACTCTGATGAGCAGCAAGTCTTGAGGATTTCAGATGATGTTTTCCCAGCCCTGCTGGGAATTGAACTTGGGACATTTTTTGCATGCAGAGCATATGCTCTCCCCCTGAGCCCTTTTTGTCTGGACACTTGGCTTTTAAGCAGAAGGATGATAAAGGGAAACCTGTTTTTCTGTCAGACTTAATTCCTTTCCTGCAATACAACCTAGAAAAAAAATGGAAGTTATCCAAATCAGAACTTTTTTGGAAGCTATCCAAATCAGAACTGTTTTTTTTTAAAAAAATAATGATTCATGATAGATTGTATTCATAAAAAATATTTGTATATCACTGCATCATTTTTACACACACACACACACACACACACACACACACACACTGGTACCTTGGTTTACGAACTTAATCCATTCCAGAAGTCCGTTCTTAAACCAAGGCGCGCTTTCCCTAATGAGGCCTCCCACCGCTGGTGCCCTCCTACCGTTCAGATTCTGTTCTTAGACCAAGGTAAAGTTCTCAAACCAAGGCACTATTTCCGGTTTTGCGGAGTTTGTAAAGCAAATCGTTCTTAAACCAGACTGTTCTTAAACCAAGGCACCACTGTATAGCAAAGTGGTTTACAGCAAAAGATAATACAATAGAAACTTAAACAGACATCAACTAACCATTGTGGATGGATGTCTTGTTAAATGCCTTCATAGGCTGAGAGGAACAGAAACATTTTCAGCAGGCGTTTAAAAGTTGGGCTGATGGCTCTTAAGGGGTTTCTTGTCAAATGAGCCTCACCAGCTTGGGGAACAACCAAAGATGCTCCTGCAGGTGATCTCAAGTGATTGAGCTGGGATAAAAGAGTTCCAGGCAATCCCTGAGGTACCCTGGACCAAAGTTGTTCAGGATTTTATAAACACGCAAGAATCCTGAGCAGTAATGGGAAGCCAGTACAGTTGTTTAACAATGCTGTGTTGTGTGCTCTCAAGCAGAGCCCCAGCTGGAGCTTCTGAACCAAACCCAAGGGCAGCCCCACAAAGAGCAACATTACAGTAATCCAGCCTTGAGGTTACCAACACATGGGCTACAGTAGTCAGGCGATCCCTGTACATGAATAGCCATAGTTTGTGAACCACACGAAGCTGGTAAAAGGCACTCATAGCCACAAAGGATGCTTGAATCTCTGGTGACAAAGATGTGTCCAGGAGTATCCCCAAGCTACATGCAACCCCATCCAGAACTAGTGACTTCCCAAACATGGGAACCACCCTTCCAAAGAGCCCCGGTCTTGCCAGGGTTCATATACACTTTATTGACCTCATCCAGTCCACCAGTGCATCCAGACAACAGTCAAAAGCTTTCAAAGCCTCTCTTGATTTGGATTTTACAAGCCATGTGAAAATAACTTGGTGAAATCTACGGAGTTTGTGCTGTGAATAATTCATTGCAAAGGGATGTTTTTAACAGCTAGGATTTGATGAGTTTTTTATACCATAAAGCTGCAGCTGTGTCAACTTACTCCTGAGTAATTCCATTGCACCTAGTTCACAGGGAACAGCTTTTCGGTGCCATCATCCAACACCAGAGGAGAATATTCACACTGGATTCCGGATGAAACCGAATCTATTGTAAATCTTTAACTTGAATTCTTTCATGGAACTTTGTAGTGAATATTAAATTTGTTTTAAAATCACTGGTACAGTGTTAAGAAGCACATTTTAAAATATAATTTTTCAACTGAAGCATGTATTTCTCACATCTTGGGAAATTGTAATGTTTTTGTTGTGTGTGCATGGCTTATGCTACTGTTCAGTAGCTGCTTTCTCTTTCCTAATAAATGACATGAATTAAAAAGTCCCCACGTTGTTAATTTCTTTTAGAAGCTACATGGCATACAAAGGAAGAGGTATGCACTTGAACAGAGGCACCTCTCGGGTGAAAATCTTGGTGAAAATCTAACCCCTGTGCGCAATTAGTAATGAAGATACCAAATGCAGCTAGTAATAGGTGCTACACTATGACTGCTTAATGCAGAAAAAATGTGTTCTATATAGAGTCTGGCAGGTGGTTCACTTTTAGACTATTGAGAAAGGTACAGTGCATCACACTGTATATAACAGAAAGGAATCAAACTGCAAGGAGACGTGTTATTTCCTTTTTAATGCACACTAGAACTACGTGCCACCCTTCTGCTTACATTGTTACTGTCACCAAGTTCTTTCTCCTGATAACTTGAGGCACAATCTAGCCAAACCTGAACACTTTGGCAAGCCATTGAGCGTTTCATCTACTTGAAACTTCCCCACTGAAAAATACAACACCTTTACTCAGGTGTAAGGGCTACCAAGTCCATTAGAGGTTACTTCCATGTAAAGCTAGCAGTCTGGTTCACACTTTACCTTAATGTTGGCTTGAGCATGCCGTTTTCCATGGGCAGTAAAGTGGATTAACCTTAAATAGAAGCCCATCAACTAATTTAGCTAGAAAGGCATTTTTTAAAAAAACCTTTTAACCAAAGAACCAACTCAGAAGAGAACGGGAGGATGGCAGAGTCAACATCAGATGGACTAACTTGTAACTGCCCAGGGAAAATATCATTAGTTGCCACCTCCTGTTTCAGTACAGCTAGTTATTTTTGTTTTCAGTACTGCATGGGGTTCTCAGTGTGCCTAGTATAGTATTTATACATTTGAGCCAATTTGCTGGTTAGTAAAAAAACCCCAGATATAAATCTGTTTAGACATATACATACACAACAAATGCATTCAGCTGTAAATAGTGATACAAACACCCATAGCTACTGAACAGTTCAACATTAACTGTTTTAAGCCTTCACTGACATTAGGAAAATGGATTGAAAGACCTTTGGTATAAAACACCGAAAATTACAAAACTGAGCAGTTTGGTCAACAGTAAAAGGCATATTTAGAATATTTACACTCAAGGTCAACAGGACTTACTCCTAAGTTAGTACATGAAGGATTTTAACCTAAGTGTCCTGATCTTATTTCTGGCCTCTCTATATACACATTTTGGACCTTTTCAGCCCTCCTGTTTTCTTTTCTGCACTAGATCAGTATTCCACTTCTTCTATAATTGATTGGGGTGTAAAGGAGGATCGACCCAATCCTGTTTGCTGTGTTTTTCACAAAAATAACAAATAAGCTTTTTTTGTTTTTAAGTACCTAGAGTTCACAGCTGACAGTCAACTGATTATGCAGCTCCTATAAGATCTTCTTGGTGTGTAGCTCCTTTCTATCCATATTTCCAAATGAACAGGACTTCAGCACAGTTCCAGTGTTACAATATATACATAAATACATTGCAAAAACCTTTTCCCTACAAAAATATATGCAGTCTTCTGAACTGTTTGATATCTTTATGCTGGATCGATCTTGTAGCATTTACTATTCTTGCTTTAGGAAAGTTATTCATGGTCTGCAAAAGTGTCTCCAGGACAGTTTGAGGATAAATCTTCTTTATCTGGAAGATTTTTAAAAAGAGCGTTATACAATTATCACAAGAAAAACACACTGGACTGAGATACTAAGCCTTTTGGGGAGAGAGAGCTGTAAATTAGAAAAGATCAAACAAGCCATACACAGTGATACTAAACAGGTTGTTGAAATTACAGTGGTGCCTCGCAAGACGAAAAGAATCCGTTCCGCGAGTCTCTTCGTCTTGCGGTTTTTTCGTCTTGCGAAGCAAGCCCATTAGCGGATTAGCGCTATTAGCGGCTTAGCGGGCTTAGCGGATCAGCTGATAAGCGGCTTAGCGGATCAGCTGATAAGCGGCTTAGCGGATCAGCTGATAAGCGGCTTAGCGGCTTGGGAAAAAGGGGGGAAAGGAAAAAAACCCTGCAGGAACTCGCAAGACATTTTCGTCTTGCGAAGCAAGCCCATAGGAAATTCGTTTTGCGAAGCACCTCCAAAACGGAAAACCCTTTCGTCTAGCGGGTTTTCCATCTTGCGGGGCACCACTGTAATTGCAGATACGGCCTGCAGTTATCAAGAGCAGGGGGGTTTCCATTAATGGTGAGCATCCTCAAACACAAGTACATTAAGAGCATCATTTATTTTCCTCTTGCAAACAACTCCAAAGAAAAAAATTGGGAATACAATAAGCTTTAAGGTTCCCAAAGAAACAAATTTGGGTTATATTACATGGAGGCTTTTGTTGTGCAAAAGTGACTCATGCATCTTTTGGCCAAGGCATTAGATACTGTTAGTTTACATTAACAGACCAACTAAAGAAGAGGGCTCAGCTATTATTAATACCTGGTATTTTTCTTACCATCATAGGTTGTTCCACACCAAATGCAGTAGAGGTGTTCTTCTCTTAGATACGCTGTCAACATGATTAACTTTTCTGAGTCCTGTGTTTAACAAATGAAATACACCTTTAAGCATAAATGGATTATGCATTAATTTTAAAATTATTTTAGCTTATTAATTTAGATCAGGGGTCGGCAAACTAAGGCCTGCGGGCCAGATCAGGCCCAATTGCCTTCAGGATTCGACCCACGGACTGTCCATGGATCGGCGTGGGGATTCTGCTCATTTGGGCTGTGCCATTTTTTCTCCTGCGCCATTCCATTCCCTCCCTCTCCCTCACACACACCATGGTGGTGCCTCCTCCCTCCCTCCTCCTGGCTTCTCCCCTCCCTGCATAGAGGAAGAAGGGGGCGGGGCTAGGCTGAGCTGGCTGAGCGTCATTTTAAGCAGCCCGTCTCCGGAACCAGCCCTTTCGCACTGCTCATCTTCCCCCCGCTGCTGCCCTGGTGCGCCTGTGGGCCGGAGAGCAGAGTGGATGAGATCACTCTGCCTATCCACGAGAAGCAGCGGCAGCGGTGGCGACAGCCCCTGGGAAGTTCAGCAGCTGGGGCTGGGGGGTGGGGAGGAAGACTACTTGCCCCCCGTGCCGCTTCTTCCAGCTCCCCCCACCCCCACCCCGTGCCGCTTCTCCGGCCCACCACAAGGTCTGAGGGACAGTGGACCGGCCTGCGGCTAAAAATTTTTGCCGACCCCCGATTTAGACTATTGAAGTGCAATGCTGCTTCCAATGGTATCTAAACCCTACACTTACGTCGAACTCATCTTCCTCTTTTTCTTCCTCCTCCTCTGCATCCACGTCATCTTCCTTTTCCTCCTCTGGCTGTAACCAGAACCACATCTCTTTGGGGGATTCAAGGCCCTTTAAAGCAAAAGTTTGGCAGTAACAACCAACATACCCCACCCCATCAATTTCTTGGCAATTTGGAAAGAGAAAAAGGTGCAACTTTGCACACCTGGAAAAGCAAAATGCTCAAAAAATAACAATAGAAGCAGTGTCAGAACTTGTTGCATACTCAAACCTGAAAAAATGAAAATGCAGCACAAGGCATTATAGCAAAGATTATATTAGCATTTTCAATTCACTGAAGCAGTAAAACATTTTCTGGAAAAGATGGGGACCATGTCTATGGTGTATGTAGTTCTTAGACAATAAAAACAGGAAGCCAGGCAGGGAAGTAAACCAGAAGAGAGTTGGTTCTTTTTTGCTTTCAGCCTGTCAGTGCACCACACTTGGCTTACGATGACGTGGGTGGGTGGACAAGCTCGTAAAAAAGTTGGTCTGGTAGGTTATGCATACTTACTTTCAGTAAATGACACCCATCCAAAGTCTTTGGGTCACAAATGCACAAAAACATTTGAAAGAAATGTTTTTATTTAAACTTACTTTCTGCATATCTAGTTGTTGACAGGCTTTCTGACTTTTCACAAGGTCTCGTTTTACTTGAAGTTGCTCCTGTTTGGTCTTCAATCTCAATCTTAAAAATAAAATGAAACATGACTACCAATAAACATAACTTGGACTGGTTGAGATATTACACTGATAGAAGAGAAGAAGAGGAGTTTGGATTTGATAGCCCGCCTTTCACTCCCTTTAAGGAGTCTCAAAACGGCTCACATTCTCCTTTCCCTTCCTCCCCCACAACAAACACTCTGTGAGGTGAGTGGGGCTGAGAGACTTCAAAGAAGTGTGACTGGCCCAAGGTCACCCAGCAGCTGCATGCAGAGGAGCGGGAACGCGAACCCAGTTCCCCAGATTACGAGACTACCGCTCTTAACCACTACACCACACTGGTGTATATGTATCTATCAATTTGTTTTGTTCACCATCGTGGGAGTTGTTCGATGGGCAGTTTAGAAGTGCTACAAACCCAAATACACACACCTTTTGGGACCCAGATCACTGTGAGCAGCTCCTATCATCCCTGATCTTTGACCATGCTGGCTGGGGCTTGTGGGACTTGGAGTCCAATAACATGTGGAGGACACTATGCTAACTACCCCTGGTGTAGTTCATACTGGCAATACCTGATGGTGATATTTGATGGAGTAGCAGCCTAATTTGGTATGAGGCAGTTTCTTATGCATTGTGGGAAGGATAACCCCACACAGCACTGTTCCTCAACCTAGTGCTCTCCAGATGATGTGGACTCCCAACTCCAATCAGCCCCAGTCAGCATGGCCAATGGTTCTAGAAACCACTATGCTGGCTGTTGCTGGCCTCAGTTGACTGGAAGAAATTTTCAGAGTTTCAGACAAGAGTCTTCTCTGGCCGTATCTGCAGAGGTCATGGATTCAACAGGGGACCTTCTGCATGCAAGCACGTGTTCCACCATGAAGCCACAATCCTTCCCATAAACAATACAATTCTTATTTGCAAAGAGAAGACGAGGAATGAAGCCCTTGAACATTACTTGAAGAGGTCAGCCGTCTGCTCCTCCGCTTGTTTCCTCATATGCATTTTTCTCCTGTAGTTTTCCAAGTTTTCTTCAGCTTTCCGTTTCTTCATTTCTTCATGGCCAAGCCCACTTCTGCCTGTTCCAAGTTCAAAGCGCTAGTTTACACATCAAGAGGCACCGTGTTTGAACTTTAAAACATTAAAAAGGAGAGAATGGACACAAACCTGTGGTAATGTTCAGAGGAATAGGCTCGACAATCCCCTTTCCTGCAGAAAACAAGAGCAGTCACGGTTGATAAAAACACACATGATCATCACTATTAGACACATTTGTGTTCCTTTCGTCACAGGAGCTCAGAGTGGCTTGTAATGGGGTTCTCACATTATCTTTACAACAAACCCTGTGAAGTGGATCAGACTGTGAGTTAATGACACACCTTAGGCTATCTACTTGGCATCTGAACAGATATTTGAGTGTAGCCTGGTCAAAGTCCACACTCCAAGTATTGTTTTGCACAGGTTCTCTGTATCTTTCATGTATGTGCATGATTTCAAACAATATCTACTAGAGAAATGAAATTTACTGAACAGATAACAGGCCTTCGCCATAACTTGAAAAAAATAACAACTATATGATTCTGCATTAATGTTGTAGAGTAATTCCCCTCAAGATGTAAGTTATACTGGTTCTAACCTCACAATAAATTTATGTTACTATTTGAAGATTTTTATTTTGCTTTGACATTCTGTTAATTAGCACTTCCTGTCTCCCAGGGAAAGTATCAGGGCAAGAGGAAGACCAGCCAGGTCCAAACCACCAGCCAGAGAACAAGCAGCTCCAGGGAGATTGCTATTTCCTCCCTTCTAGAAAGAATACTCTGTTCCAACTGCTAGTTGGGCCTAGGACTGCAGAACTGAAGGGAATAATATTCTGGCCCAACCACTGGCCAGCAGACTCAGGGCTGCTGATTTGTTTGTGAATCTGAGGTTATTATTATTATTATTATTATTATTATTAATCCACCAATCTCTCCCTCTTCCCTAATTTTTTTGGGGGGGGTGTGAAGTGGTGACTCACACCCCCCCCCCACAGCGGCGATTCCAGGGTCCTCTCTTATAGGGGTTTGTATATGGGAGTCAATGGCCATACACTGAAAGGTTGTCAGTGAACTTCCCTGCGTTGCGGGGATATGGGGTGGGCTGCCAGCGTACACAAGCGTCTTGCTGTGCACCCGCCCATATCCCATTCACCCTGAGGAGCCCCAGTTCCCCCAGCTGGGGAGCTGGGAGGGATACATGCCCAATGCCTAAGCCAAGGTCTTCCTACATCTGAAAGGTTTAATAAAGCTGTGGCCAATTTTTAATTCCATAACACGTTGTCACGGGTCGTTATTCCTTCTGGTGGTCTCTCAGGGCTGGGGGGTCTCTGCCTGGGCACGCAAAACACTCTGTTCCAACTGCTAGTTGGGCCTGGGACTGCAGAACTAAAGGGAATAATGTTCTGGCCCAACCACTGGCCAGCAGACCCAGGGCTGCTGATTTGTGTGTGAATCTGAGGTGGTGCTGGTGCTGGTTCTGGTACTGGTGGTTGTTATTATCATTATTATACCACCAACCTCTCCCTTTTTATCAAAGGGAAGGAGGAAGGGCAATCAATGAGATAGCATCCTTTAATATTTTTTTTAAAAAACCTTCCTTTTTTATATGAGGGAAGCTATTTAGGGTGAACCAAAAATGTCTTATGCAGCAACTTTTTTTTTTGTTCTTACTTTTACACAAAGAAGGGGGCCCGTCAAAGTCTCAGAGAGGTAGTAAAGGCATCAGGGCACTCACATACACACACCCACAAAGGCAGAAGGGGAGACGGAAGGAAAGAAAAAGAGTTAAATAACAGGGCAACATTTTTTGTTCTTACTCTGAAAACAACCCCCGTTTCTTCTTTCACGGGGGTAAGGAAGGGGAAAGGGGGTTCCCAGCAAGCCCCAAGCCAGCATCTCTGTAAATCATGCCTACTGGTCTGTCACGCTGGCCTGCTGAGCCGGGGCTTGCTGCAAAATCGAAAATAGTGCCATATTTTTCCGTGTATAAGATGATATTTTTTCCTTAGAAATAACAGGCAAAAATTGTGGGTCGTCTTATACATGGATAGCGGGGGTGGGGTGGGGTGGGCAGCAGCCAGCAGGATTGGCAGCGGCGATTGGGCATGCGATTGGTTGCTGCGGCAAGGCCTGCTGATGATTGGTTGCGGCAAAAACTGAACGATATGTATTGAAAAATCACCCAGGTCTATTACACAGACATTCCCATGATCTCTCAACCCAAGAACTGTTTTAATTGGATTGTTTGTGTATTTTAATTTTATATTTTAATGCTTGTGTCATTGGTTTTTATACTTCTAAACCACTTCGAAGCCTATTTTGGCATTAAAAGGTTTATAAATTAATAATAAAACAACAACCATAATAATACCATGATACAGTCTTATTCAGAAAAAGGGAAGCTGAGAAACTCACCACTTTTGCCAAGAGGTTGACCACTTTTATAACCCATCTTCTGAAGCATAGCAAAACCTTTATTCTCGTTTCCCAAAGCAATGTTTAAAACAGTATCACGTTGTTCTTTCTCCTGCTCTTTTATACTCTTTTGCCGACTTCTCTCGTTTGCTTCCTTTTGTTTTTCTTCTTTCTTAAACACTTCCTTTGTACGCCTCAGCATTGGCATGCCTGGTCTGATGTCCTGGCTGAACAAGTCCAAATATCAAACTATTATATAAATAAATAAAGTTTTAAGAGCATTTTCAGTGAACCACATGTAATGCTTAACAGTACATCCCTCAATGTTTTATGGGGCTCACTTCCAGGTAAGTGTACATAGATTGCAAGGTTAATACAGTTTCCAAACAGAATACTACCAATCTATTGTAATTATCATTCTTGCAAGAAGAATATGTTTCTCTTTTCTTCTGCTGAAATGGAACAAGGATAGATTAAATGGTACGATAAAAGCCCCACACAGTGGTATTTCTGTTGCTGTAATATGCTCACAGAACACACTGGTATATGAAAGGCATGGCAAGGAAATTGAAGGGAAAACCTAGGTTGAATCAGTAGGGAGTTGTAATCCACAGTAATATATTCTGGAATATGTGTGGGAAACTATTGGCCCTCCAGATGTTGCTAAACTACAACTCCCATCAGACCCAGCAAGCATGCCCAATGGTCAGAGATGATGGGAGTTGTAGTTCAGCTACATCTAGAGGGTCAAATGTTCCCCATACCTGTTCTAGAGGCTGCTACTTCTGTGCTAGGTCTTACTGAAGGAGACTATAGAAGGGGAATATATTAGAGGCTTACCAGTTCATTGTCCACAAGAAAGGGCCGTGGGAAAAGCAGTGTTGAGAAAGAGTGTAGTCAAAGAGTTAGTCTATGCAGGGATGGGCTTAAAATGGCTTAGGTGGCAGTCTGAATCTATTCCGCCCTCCAGTTCAAGTTCATTTTCCTGGATTTAGGAATAAGCAATTCCTATGCCAGTTTCATGGGCCACTTAAACATACTCCCCAACCACTTAAAGCCATGTAGCTGGGCTAGAATCATTGAGTTCAGTCACTGTGGCACAGAGGCAGGTATCCTACATTATATGAGGGTGCCAAACTGGAGCTGTAACCCAGGAACTGGATAGCTCTGAAATGGCAAGAGGAAGGGTGCACAGTTCAGCTTTCAGTCCCAAATGTCACTGGTCATGTCTGATCAATCATCCAAGGCTTCACAAACCATGGTTTATGAAGCTGTAGACAAGCATCATGGCCATGCATCATTCCCTTGCTCCACCTGATTATCCTTCCTCTAGCTGTGCCCCAGCTTGAGCACAAAGAGCCTGGGTTGCAGTAAGCCAGAGTTCCTGATACACCAGAACTAGGAAGCTCTGGCTTAAAGCAAGCCAGGATCTTTACACCTCAGCCAGTATGCAGCCAGAGAGTGCAAAGCGATGGCACTTGGTTTATTCTTCATAAGGTTTTGGATGATCACACATATGCAGCCATTGTACCTCTTGGAAAGACGTTTTCTCTGGTTTCCCAGAAAAATGATACACCCAGTTCAGAGACGGATAAGTGAAATCTAAACTACTTCTGTGCTAGGTGTTCTTGGAGCAGAAAAGGGGACTATACAAGAGATTAACACTCTTCTTGTCCCAAAGAAAGGACTGGTGGAAAAGTTGTTGGTGCAGAAAAAGAGTGGAGCAGTCAGTACAGTTAGTCCATGCAAGATGGAGCTGTTCTGCCTGGCCTTCGGTACGGGCCCAATTTGACCCCCCTCTATGGGACTCTGTAAGCTACCTCTTTGGCCCTTTTATCGGCTCATGTGGGACCAACATAGATAGCTGGCCCTGATGAATACATGAGGTTCCTGACCCCTATGGTTGTAATTCGTGGGCAATCATTTAATTTTATCCTGATTCTAATTCTTAAGCTGTATTTTAATCAGTTGTTTGATTGTGTTTTAATGTATTTGATATTTGTTGTTAGCCACGCTGAGCCCGGTCTTGGCCAGGGAGGGCGGGATATAAATAAAAATTTACTTACTTACTTACTTACTTACAATGGTGTGCTAAAGGAACTGACAGAAGTCAGAACAACGTTTGCATGTGGTTTGAGACTGCAAGACCTGGGTCCCCAGATGTTGTTGGACTACAACTCCTATCATCCCTGGCCAGCTCTAGTCCATCAACGAAAGGGGACTCAAGGATGAAGAACCCTCTTCTAGGTGATATCAACTTGAAGCATTTTAGCCAGACCTCTTACTCAAAAAATAATTGAAAAGTTCCGTATCTGAAACACCACAAATAGCTTCAATTATTAGTGTATGTGTTAGGCACTGACAAGTTTGATAAGTTTAGAAAAACATTGCACTTACTTAACATTAATAAAGGAATCAGACATGTAGTCATCTTCTTCATCTCCCATGATTGGTATTAATACTCCACTTGCAGACCTCTTGCCTATAAACAATATTTTTCTAGCTTTTAGAATGCATCGAAAATAGCTAAAGTTTTCACTGATTTTTTTCGGAAAAATATTATTATTATTTCATGTACAGTATTTATATCCCAACTTTCTTCCAGCTTGGGAGACTTACAACAATTAAAAACATTATTATAAAATACAAATTAACAAAAACAAGCTGTGACTTTGTTACAGCTAATAGTTGCCACAATTTTCAGAGTGCTCTGGTGGGAGGAACAGTAAGCTGTAAGCTGCCCAGAATGGCTGGGGAAACCCAGCCAGATGGGCATGGTATAAATGAAAAAATTAATAATAATAATTTCATTTAGTGTTCCTAGAAAGAGCGAACTTTAGGGGCACTGAACCTTTAGATTAAAGAACTAATAGAGGTAATGCAACAACAGACAGGGATTGAAGTGGTGAATAAAGTGAAGTTAACTTTAGTAAATATGGTTAACCCCCAAAATATTGATTTACTTCAAAACAATTACTTACCTGTTTGGAATGGAATAAAAAGGGATCTGGAGGTGTGGGGGAGAATTTTTGGGGGAAATTCTCCCTTTTGGGGGAGAATATCTACGATTAAGATGAGTATGCTGCCAAAGATGTTATTTTTATTTCAATCACTACCGATAATCAAGGGGGCATTAGTATTTAAAGAATGGCAAAAAACAATTTCAAGATATCTCTGGCAGGGCAAGAAGCCAAGGATTCAGTTTAAGCTACTAACTGACGCGAAAGAAAGAGGCGGCTTCGCTCTGCCAGACTTGAAATTATATTATGAAGCATCATGTCTCTGTTGGTTAAAGGAATGGATCAAACTAGAGAATGGGGAGTTGTTGGACTTAGAAGGATTTGATAATAGATTTGGTTGGCATGCATATTTATGGTATGAAAAGAAGAAAATTCATAAAGGGTTTGAAAACCACATCTTCCGAAGATCCCTGATAGAGCTATGGGAAAGGTATAAAAATTTGCTTGAACCAAGACTCCCTCACTGGATTTCACCACTAGAAGTGATGAGTGTGAAAAAGATTAATATGAGGGGGGGATGGATAACATATGGAGAATTGATAGTAAGAGAGGGAGGGAAATGGAAAATGAAATCTTATGAAGATGTGAAAGAATTTGTTTATGATTGGTTGCATTATTATCAGGTCAATGAAATGTTTAAAAAAGATTGTAAAGAGCGTGGATATGAAGGAAAAGAATCAAAATTTCAAACAGAGGTATTGAATAATGAATATAAGCACAATTCTGTATTTATCTAGCAAGTGAGCAAGTCTCCACTGGATTCAAGAGGACTTGCTCCCTGCCAAGAATGCACATTAGCAAAGAAAAGGTGTCATACATTTTAGATATTAAACACAGCCCCTCATGATTACCCCAGTCTCCCCATATTAACTGAATGTAATAAGAGTCCTGTTGAATCAGATGAAAGGTCTATATTCTAGTCTAACATCCTGCGGTGCATAGTAAAATAACAGAACAAGCTTGCTGAAGGACTAATGCATTATTATTATTTATTATTAATTCTTAAATTTCTATACTGCCCTTCATCCAGAGATCTCAGGGTGGCTTACAATATACAAACCAAACAAAAAACAAAACAAGAATACATACTACAATAACAAACAAGTGCAATTACACCCCCTGCACCTATACAGGTGTTATTATTAACAGCATCAGCTTTCGTGAACTAGAGTCCACTTCATCGGATACATGAAGTCGTATCCTCTGTGCTGCAAGCACACACACACACACACACACACATATATATATAGTGGTGTGGAGAATAGCCCTCTCTCCCTGCCGTCCCCCCAGCAACTAGTATTCAGAAACACGCTGCATTTGATCGTGGAAGTTGCATACAGCCATCCTAGCAGCACAGAATTGCAATGGAGCCTTAGGGTCATCTAGTCCAAACCGCCCCTCGCCACCCCACCCCCCATGCAGAAACCCCATGGCTAGCAGATGCCCATAGCCTGACCTAACAAGCTGCCCAACATTCGCCAGCAACGCTCAAATGCACCACCAGCTCTTTATCATTATTCCCTACCAGCCTCCGCGCGCCTCTTCCACCCCCCGAAGCCTAGCCCTCTTGCGTTCCAGTCTCTCGGCAACTGCGCAGGTGCGCATGCGTACCTTCTACCGGCCAGCTTCCGGGTATGCAATGCGCTTGCGCGGCAGCCGGCGCTTCCTCAGCTGGTGGGGAGAGAGGGATTCGGTTACTGAGCGGTGCGCTATGGCGACGTCAGGTGTTTGCCCCTTTCTGTCAAACGTCGCAGTGGTCTGCGGTACCGCGAACTGGCGGAAGAGGTGGGTCTGGGAGGCGAAGGACTTACTTGCGGGGGGGGCGGGGGGAGAAGAGCCGCGGAGCCAATATGCAGGGGTGGCGGTTGGGTGGCGTGAGGGGGGGCACTTTAACTGGGTCCCTGTGAGGAGGAGGGAACGAACAACGGCGGCTCCTACGGGTGGGCAGCGGGGTCAAGTTAAGGTGGTGCGCTGCTTTCGCGGCGGGGTGCTTCGGCCTTTAGGGCAGGCAGACGCTTTCGAGAGGGGCGGGCAGGAGTTTTGAGTGGCGGCGGGTTTCCTTATCGCTGGGGCTGCCCTTGACACCAGGGTGGCAGGCCTTGGGGCTGGGTATCCGAAACTGCCGTTTCCTCTGACTGGCAATGGCCCCCCGGGGATTTCTTACTACGGGGGGGGCGGGGAGTCGCACTTTCTGCATGCAAAGCAAAGCACACGAGGTGATGGACCTCCCTCCGAAACTGAGCGGGGCTTTAAAGCGCTTGGGGGCATCCCCAGGAGCTACAGCAGTTTCACACCATTTATGCAGCAGCAAGCATGGGTTGCTGCATAAATGGCAGCTGCAGATATTCTGGGCTCTCTGTCGCTGATTCCAGTGGTGCAGTTCTCAGTTTATTTTTATGTCCCATTCATATCTCACCCTGTCCTTATTGAGGTGGGAAGTGATGAGCAATAGAGCCTTTTCAGCGGCAGTACTCCTGGCAGTGGAATCCTCTCCCGGGAGACATTTAACTGGCACTTACTCCACCTAGCTTTTAGGCACCTGGCGACAGGCAATTTCCTTCCTACAATTTTGATGCTTGATGGTTTAATTCCGCCTTCATTGCCTTGCTGTTATTCTCCCTGCCCCTCTCTTTTACTTACATGGTTTATTTTGTTCCTGTCTTTTTGCATACTGTATGTAAATTGATATTTGATTTTATTATGGTTGTTATTTGACTTGGAAATTTCTGTGGAGAATATTTTAAATAAATTCAGCAGGGGAATCTGAGATCACAAACTCTGGTTTTACTCTTGTCTAAATAACATTTTACTTAAAACAGTAGCAGAGGACAGGATTGTACAGGAATCTCATAAGGTATTGGTACTCTTAAAACATAGTCTTAATTTTCCTATCTATGTGTGACTTCCCCGGCATATCATCTCAGACCAAGTGAATCAGACAGTAAATGTGCTTTCCACACCCTTGAGATAATACTTCTGGCCCTTCTGAATGACAGAAATTCCAAATTACAGTACAGTTCTATGTCTACTGAGAAGTAAATCCCATCGAGTTCAATAGGACTTAATTCCAAGGTAAATGAATACAGGACTGCCAAATAGAGGTTCCATAATCATTATTACTAGCCTGGCAATGCGCACTCTCTCCCTCTGACATTTTTTCCTCCATTGCACTTGATGAGTTGACTGCCCTATTATCTTTAGTTAACCCATGTTTATCCTTGATCCTGTGCCCTCCTAATTGCCATCTCTGTTGTCATTATCACTCTTTTATGTTATCCTATCTTTTTCTTCCTCTCTTCAACATTCAAATGCACCACTGTTTTCCTTATTAAAACATACCAACTCTTGATCCCTTTTCTAGGTCTGACTACTGTACAGTTCCCTCCCCCTCTCCTTTTCATCAAACTCCTGCTTACTTTCATGAGCTAAACTTCTTTTTTTTCCAAGTCTGTTGCTGGCCCCCTTCCAGTCTGCCAGCTGCATGTCACTGCTTTTGCCTTCTCATCACCAAATCCAAAAGTCTCTACTCTGTTCTCTTCCTCTTTGATATCTAGGTACAGTAGATCACTTTCCCCTACTTGTTTCACTTTGCTTTATGTCCTAGATCTCCTTGATTTTGTTTTCAGATGGCTCTCTTTCTGTCTAGTTGATATTTTGGTGTTTCTAGAGGCGGAAACTCTCTTTGTTTTCTTTCTTCATTGTGGTTTCTCAGATGTCTGTGCTTGTATTTGGCCATCTGCTATTCTGTCCCTATGCAGTGTCCCTGAGTAACGTTATCACATATCATGGCTTTCAGTACAATGCACTGATGTCACCCAACTCTACCTAAGAAGAACTTTCTTCATTCTAGTGCAGGCATAGGCAACCTCAGCCCTCCAGATGTTTTGGGACTACAACTCCCACGATCCCTAGCTAACAGGCCCAGTGGTCAGGGATGATGGGAATTGTAGTCCCAAAACATCTGGAGGGCTGAGGTTGACCGTGCCTGTTCTACTGCATTTCTAAGTGTGTCTTTGATATTTCTGTCTAGGTTTTGCATTGTTATTTGAAACTCAGTAGGACTCAAGATCGAACTTGGTTCCTCCCAAGCCATCATCTTCTTCCTTCATTCTTAATCGTTAATAACATCACCTTGCTCTACTGATCAGGCTTGAAGCCTTGGTTTTCTCAATCCTTTGCCCTCCATTTTCATTGCCAAATCATTTCTTCTTTTACTATGTTACAAAAATATGACCAAAAATTCTGGTCCATTGCCTTGGTCATCTCTTATGTTGACTACTGCATTCTTTTCATGGCTCTTCTGTTGTCTTGCATTTATCCATGCATCATTCTGCTGCCAAAATTATTCACTCTGACCCTGTGCATCTTTTCTCCCTTGCTGCTCTCAGTGCCTTGAACTGCCTGCCAGAATGCCTCCATTTGACCACCTTCTGTACTTCCTCCACAAAACGCATATTCTCTGGCAGCCCATTGGAACAACATCTAGTCCCAGTACCCTATGGTAACTAAGCTGAATAATGTGTAATTAAATAGCAGCACATCCTCTCCCTTTTTATCCCTGCCACCATTTCCCTCAACTTCCTCTGTTGTAAGTCCCTTGGTGAGGGACCTGCCAAATCTGTTGTTTGTAAAGTGCAATGTGCATTGCTGGTACTAAGGAAATAATACATCAGTGCAGATACTTCATGTAAGTGTTTGGCAATCTGAGATATAATCAAATATTAAGTAAATGAGCTGTTTGTAAACTGCTATTAGGAATAAGAAAATAATAATAATAATAATTGTTCTATGTTATGTTTTCTATTAGGAAATAAGTACACCTGTAACAAAAGCAGATTTTAGCCAGCCATGGAGCTTGCTCACAGTTTGTTATTAAATGAAGAGGCTTTGGCTCAAATCACAGAAGCAAAGCGACCAGTTTTTATCTTTGAATGGCTGCGGTTTCTTGACAAAGTGCTAGTAGCTGCTAACAAGGTATGCCATGTCCCCTCCCACCAGTCTTTGGTTCTTATATAGTCCTTTTTCATTGAGTTTCATGGGGCTTGCTCCCAGATCAGTGTAATGGATTGCAGTCTAACTCCATGACATTATTATGTAGTTCACTAATTCGTATATTTAAAAGATCTGATTTGCCCATAATTTGAGATGAATGTTATGTCCTGAGCTGTAATTCCCTTTCCAAGTTTGTTTTAAGTGAATTTGTATCAGTAGTTTCAGAGAAATGCCAGAAGCATTTAGGCAAATGGGCCAGTGGATTAGGCCAGTACCAGCTTCATTAAATAAACCGCCAAATATCATGAATGTTCGGACATCTTACTGAAAAATAAAATGACTCATGAGGGGGGGGGTTATAGCTCTACTAGCAAAAACATCCCAGAAATAAAAATACCGTATTTTTCGCTCTATAACACGCACCTGACTATAACACGCACATCGTTTTTAGAGGAGGAAAACAAGGGAAAAAAACATTCTGAATGAAACAGTGGATGTATCATTTTTGTGCTTCATGCTGTGGCCACAGACATGTGATCTGATGGTGAATTTGGGGTGACCCAATGCAAAAATCCTGAGAATTCCTGTGGATCCATGCTTTGTAACCACGTTTTTGCACTATTGCAGCCCCAGGCAACAGTGGGTGCGTGATTTTTTGGGTGCAGGCTGTAGCCATGGACATGCTATGTGATCTGATGGTGAATTTGGGGTGACCTAATGCAAAGATCCTGAGAATCCCTGTGGATCCATGCTTTGTAACCACATTTTTGCACCATTGCAGCCCCAGGCAACAGTGGGTGCGTGATTTTGGGGGGGCAGGCTGTAGCCATGGACATGCTATGTGATCTGATGGTGAATTTGGGGTGACCCAATGCAAAGATCCTGAGGATCCATGTGGATCCATGCTTTTTAACCACGTTTTTGCACCATTGCAGCCCCAGGCAACAATGTGTGCGTGATTTTGGGGGGGCAGGCTGTAGCCATGGACATGCTATGTGATCTGATGGTGAATTTGGGGTGACCCAATGCAAAGATCCTGAGGATCCATGTTGATCTATGCTTTGTAACCACATTTTAAGTGGGGAGCGAAGGAAAAACAAAGAAGGGACATGAGAGGGGTGTGCAGAGAAGCAGCTGGCTAAGAATGCTGGAGAGGGAATTTAACGGAAGGGAGGAAAGAAAGGCAAAAGTTCCCCCCCAAGCCAGCCATCTCTCTCTCTCTCTCTCTCCCTCCCTCCCTCCCTCCCTCCCTCCCTCCCCCCTCTCCCTCCCCACCCCCTCTCTCCCTCTCCCTCCCCCCTCTCCCTCTCCCTCCCCCACTCTCTCTCCCTCTCCCCCAGCAGCACCGGAGCACAGAGAGGAATTAGAAAGAACGACACTCTGCTTGCCTGGAGGGGAGGGGCTTTCCCTGCTCTTTGTTCCGTTTGAGCAAACACAGCAACGAAACAGAGGAGGGTGGGCAGTAAGACCCTGAGGCAGAATGCAGGAAAGCTGCCACTTCCTCTTTTCAGGTTTCCCTTCTCCGTGACTCGCGATTTGACTTTTGCTTGATTTTTTGGGTCCAGGG